ACAGTGCAAGGTTAAATCCACCTCTTGTGGATGTCATACTGACAACCATTAGAGGCGCTTCTGCGGCAGTGACCAAGTAAATACTCATTCACACGAAACGGAAGCCTCCTATCAGAAAATATAGATTCATTGCTTCCCTATGGGTAAGCTTGGATGCATGGTGCCTTCATGCAGGAGACCATATCTCCTCAGTGACGTTGAGGAAGGCAGAAAGGTAAACAGTGTCACCATGTTGGGAAAAAGGCAAGACAAATCTTTATTTTGTCTTTTCTGTTACACACGGGGAGAGCCTATCTAACCAGGGGCACTAAAGCATTAAGAATACAGGCTTGTATTCCAACACTTAGTGTTCTTGTAATAATAAAAACATATATAGACACAAGTAGCTTTTAACCCAGGCTATCATACCTGCTAATATGGTTATCAAAAATAAATATATTTTAAAATAAAGCAAAAACAAAGCATTCCAACCTCATTATCTGACTTTTGGATGGGATGTGCATTCAATACTGAGTTATGTTACTCTTTTGTTAGTCATATTAGAGGCCATACATTGCGTATGGTGTTTATTTTGTCATGTAGGCCATAGTTCAATTTCAGCTATTGCTTGTCATCATATGAGGTTTGGTTATGATGGCTCCTCTGGGGCAGTGTCTTATCCTCCAAACAGGAGGAGTTAGGGGTAAGCCCTGCCCATTCTTTATCTGTTCTCCCTTGCACGCTTTTTTTTAACCAAATCTACCATACGTATTAAATACTCTTCACAAACTCTTCCCCTCCCCGTCTTAGACCTTGTGCCTACTGATGTTAGGGGAGGATCCACAAGTTTTCAGAAATTCTACATAATTCTAAAAAAAAGTAATTTCAATGTGAAGCGCTGAGCTACATCTATACATTCAGAACAGCTATTCGTGAGTTAAAATGCTTCTTTGACAAAACAATAAATAGGAAATCTAAAAGCCTGTTGACCTTCACTCCTATTAGATTTCGCCATCTGTTTGCCATCTGTGCAAAGCCTCTGAGTTACCCCTGTCTATGTGTGTTCTATTCAGTGTTCCCCTGTGTCCTTGAGTAATGGGCTTGTTCTTTGTGAAACTAAAGTCCACCTGACAGAGGGACTGTAACCTGTAAAAGGCACCAGGCAGTGAGCAAACTTGTTTTCTCAACGGATTTTAATTCTCTAAAACAAAATGCAGAAAACATTTTTATGACTTCTCTCGGTTATGCATGTTGCAATTTACACTGGAGATTAATGTCCATTCAGAAGGACCACCGGTAAGTCAATTTGTTATACATTCGTTATTCGTTATTTTTGGGGGGATTTTTGTGTTTTGTTTTTTTTACTTGTATGGAAATAACTGTCTGCTTATAGATCAATGGAAACTATTTAAGACTATTAATTATTTAAAGCAGGCAAATTAGCAAACATAGGACTCCCTGGAGAGCTATTTATTCATCAAAACTTTTTGTAACTGCTTTACGGAATTGAAATCATTATCTGTAAATCTAAAGGACAATTGCACAACTGTACCTAAAACATACAATGTGTGTTAAAAAGCGTTTCGAATGTTAATTTCCTGTGTATTTGATATTCTAATGAAGCGATCTTACATTGTGATATTATTGTTTTAATAGAATCCCATGATTTGCCACTTTACAGAGGGCTATTTAATAAACCGTGAGTTGACAGACTACAAGACCAGCATAACAGTCTGGAAAAATCAGAAACTGACTGAATTGGAGATTTTGTTTTCCAACTTCTTTGTTTTGCTTAGATATTTAACATCGGTTACATACTTGCTGCAATGTGAGATTTGAATGGTATGAACTAAATGTTTTCATGGGAATTATTAATGTAACATGTATTTCTAACACGATAGTGCTGTACTACCTATTTAGGCGTCCGCCCCCTCATTAAGGAGATAAATGGTGTTTTACTTACCTCTTGTCCATCGATGTGGCAGGCCCCGCCTCCTTGGCGAAGATCATCAGTTTTGATGATCTCAGCCAATCCAATACTTTCACATAGGAAACCATTGGGAGGCTATTGCGCATGCGTGGCAAAATGCCTTGCTGCGCCAATCAGCATCTTCTCATACAGATGCATTGAATCAATGCATCTCTAAGGGGAACGCAGCGCCTCCATTCAGAGCGTAGAGACACTGAACTAGTAAGCATTTTCTCTGAAAGTGCAGCATTTACATGCTATAGACACTAGAACCACTTCATTAAGCTGTAGTGGCTTAATGAACTGTAGTTCATTACAGGTGACTGTAGTGTCCCTTTTTAAGTAAAAGAAGGCAGAAAGTACCATCAATCCCTTAAGTGGAGCACTAAATAAATGGACTCACCCTTGGTATAAGGATATAAGCAATCCAAAAGTGTGCAGCCCTGGCCCAGGAAGCATCCCATGCATCATGAGACTTATGACTGGCATTTATAAAGGCACTGTACAATTGGGAAAATATATAATTAGACCAGTATAAAAGGTAAGCGGTCCTGCCTGTGACCTATGTAATATACAGCTGTACTCTGATATCCTTGCTGCTGTGAATGCTTCTATAAAACGTAAACTTGTTTTGACGAGAAAGTTAAACCTCCCCCCAGGGTTGCTACCAAACTAGAAACCGTGACTCAAAGTTATTCAAACATCCTCCATCAGTCATTGCTGTTGTTGTCTGATAAGAGACAGATATCTGTAATGAGCTAGACACAGAGGCCAGCCCTCCCATCGGCTGGGATGAGTCAGCTCACCTGGTACAGCAATATGAGCTACACTAAGGAGATCAGTTCAGACACATTGACAAACTCTGCACTTAAATCTGTTTACAAGAATATTTGTTGAACCAGTGCAAGTAGTAAATATTGCTAAATAATCTGATAAAATCTTCATGAGTGGTCATATAAGACAGTGCAAAGGTCTGAATGTATTTACTCTGAGGGGTTAATTAGCTAGACATGGATTTGAGGTCATCCGAGAAATTATTTAGAAAAGCCTAGTTACTGAAGTTGGTAACAAATTTGCTAGATAGGTAAAAGCACCTCCCCCCCCTGAATTTTAGGCTGGCTAATGCTTTGTCAGATCACAGTTTTGCAAGTACATTTGTGGTGTTTTTTTCCTCCTCGCTGTGAAAGTTTTGCTAACTTCAGCATTTTCTGTATAAAGTAAGCCAAAAGTAAAAGTTCATCAGCTAATAAGAACAATACTTAAAGGGTTACTGATTTGAAGTGGTTGTGGTGCCTGGAGTCTATAGTATTTTGCTATGAACTTTTGCACATACATAGTTTAACCCCTCTGTAGCTCCCTTTCCAGCAGCGTCATTGAGACGTCTTATTTGGGCTGGCTAATGTCTGTTCTGTGCATATTGTATATCTGTCATCACGCACAGCATGCCGGCGACAGGCATCTAATTGTATTTTGGGATGTGGGGTGGTGTATGTTGCAATATAATACCCCTTTAAAAAAAATAAAATAAGGAAAATACATGTTCCAGTACTCCTTGTTTAAAGCATACCCACTGGATTCTGGCACCCCTGCACAGAGCCATCTCAGCCAGTCATGGTACTCTCGTTGTATTGTATGGGAGCCTTCTGCATATCCCAGAATAATCCAGGCAGCAGGAGGTATGTAGTTCAGTTGCCAGTGTTTTTTGTCGAATGCTCTACAGCTGGTAAATTATGAGTGTTCATTCACACAAACAAAGTTCCAGATATTACCTTGTCCATTTATGTTTTTTCATGAATGAAAGTACTTACGACCACCCTTTCTTATGACTTCTCTTCACGCTTCAGTGGCATTAAGTTACCTTTATAGAGGTTTTAATGTATGTAGCACATGTATTACATCGGATACCAATGCCAGAAATGGACTTTCTGTAAAATAGATTAAATATGATTATTATTTATTATCATTATTATTATTAACATTTTATGTAGAGTAGAAATTTTCAAGCAGCATGTTACAGTTATATAATGTGGATATTTCACACAATTAGACTTATGTCCCCCCACCCCGTTAGCCCTCGTATAAAAGTTTAAAACTCACTTTATTTCCAGCGTCGCACGGGTCCGCTGGCTCTGCCCCCTTTGTGACATCATCAAATATCATTGGGGGCATGGGGCGAGGCCAAATGCCGTTTTGGCCAATCAGGACCTCTCCATAGAGATGCATTGAATTAATGCATCTCTATGAGGAAAATTCGGCGTCCCCATGCAGAGTGTGGGGACCGTAAACGGCAGGGCTGCTTACTGTGCAGCTCTGAGCCAGGAAGCCCCTCCAGTGGCCATTTAAGGAGTGGCCACTTGGAGGTATCCCTAGGGGCATTTTCTCTGAAAAGGCTGTGTTTGCATGAAAATGCCTGAAGGAAGCTATTATACTCACCAGAACAACTACATTAAGCTGCAGTTGTTCTGGTGACTATAGTGTCCCTTTAATATTGATTTGATTAGACTGCCATTAACACCATCACTTTGCACTGCTTTAGAAATAAGTGTTATAGTGTTACATGTATATATATCTTACAATGATAAATACTTTGACAAAACTAATAATATTCTGTATTTTTTTCTGTATGCAGGTTATATCAAAACAAAGAATCCGTAAATCAATATGAAAGTCCTGGTACGTCAAATAATCTAGAAATCAAGTACATCTTTCTGTCTCTAGCAGCTGGCCAATATATTTTGGATACATCAGAAGGCTCGTTATTGCAACGAGTACCATTTTGACTCCCAATGAGTATGCAGAGACACAGAAGTCAATTTATCTGTCAATCCGTCTGAATATAAAGTTAAATCACTCGTATCAGTTGGAATCTACAGCTCACTGACCCAGGAAGGTCACGTTTTAATTCGTAGATAAGAAAAATGCCTTACTAAGAAACAAACCATTGTCCTGTGCTCCAAGATTCTGCTCTCATTGGCCTTCAAGGTGAAGTTTCTCTCAATTGGCTGACTTTCCTTCTCGGAACTTTTAAAGGCTTGAAACTAGAAAAAGAGACATGTTTTTCAGACAGAGGAATCTAAAACTGTTTTCACTTCTCTTGATATTATTAGCCATTACCTCTTTTCTTGTAAATTACAACCAGAATGCTGGATCATATACGTGGAGTCCTGACAAGTACTTTACAAGATTTTCAGATCGATTTCGTAGATTCATGACATTTTCTCGAAGGATTTGCAACTGTGATACATGTGTAGCTGAATCAGAAATCTCACCCTGGTTTGACGAGAGATTTAATCAGTCCATTCCTGCTCTGTTGACTAAGCAAAATAATATGATCCCAGAAAGTGTGTATCGATGGTGGCTGGTAAGTTCCAAGTATACATTGTGGTTTCACAAGTAAATGTGCTGGGTTGATGGTTAAAATGTTACTTGAGATGTTCCTTTTAGAAATTATTTTAAAACAATATGACTAAAAGATTCTTATTTTGTATCGTACAATGCTATGAAAATATTAGCCATAATGATCACAATATCTGATATTCTTCTTCTTATGAACATAGATGTCTACAAACTGCATAACAATTTTTCAAAACCTCTAAAGTAATTTAAAAAAAAATATATATATATATATATATATATATATATGTAGCTGCGGAGATCTTCCGCAGTCAATTAGAACTTGAGATTCCAACATGTGAATTGCTAAACTACCAGCATTCCACTGTGCAGAGAGACTTGTGCCTAATGTTGCACAATGCCAGTTTTGTAAAAACATTCTGGGTAGCTATAAATACTTGTTAATGTTACTATTGAAAAAAAAATAAGAAATTTGATGGCCTTAACACTTTAAAATGAATATAATTTTGAATTGTAAAAATATAAAAAGAATAGTGTGTACTAGTGCTTAAAAAAATATGGTTAGCAGCTCAAAGCACCCTTGTATGATTAAAGGAACACTATAGTCACCTAAATTACTTTATCATTCCCCTGCAATTTCAATCAATTCACTGTCATTTAGGAGTTAAATAACTTTGTTTCTGTTTATGCAGCCCTAGCCACACCTCCCCTGGCTATGATTGACAGAGCCTGCATGGAAAAAAAAACTGGTTTCACTTTCAAACAGATGTAATTTACCTTAAAAATAATATCAGGAAGTATTACTTTACTGAGAGGGTAGTGGATGCATGGAATAGCCTTCCAGCTGAAGTGGTAGAGGTTAACACGGTAAAGGAGTTTAAGCATGCGTGGGATAGGCACAAGGCTATCCTAACTATAAGATAAGACTAGGGACTAATGAAAGTATTTAGAAAATTGGGCAGACTAGATGGGCCGAATGGTTCTTATCTGCCGTCACATTCTATGTTTCTATGTTTCTAAATAATTGTATCTCAATCTCTAAATTGAACTTTAATCACATACAGGAGGCTCTTGCAGGGTCTAGCAAGCTATTACCATAGCAGGGGATACGAAAATCTTAATTAAACAGAACTTGCAATAAAGAAAGCCTAAATAGGGCTCTCTTTACAGGAAGTGTTTATGGAAGCCTGTGCAAGTCACATGCAGGGAGGTGTGACTAGGGTTCATAAACAAAGGGATTTAACTCCTAAATGGCAGAGGATTGAGCAGTGAGGCTGCATGGGGCATGTTCTATACACCAAAACTGCTTCATTAAGCTAAAGTTGTTCAGGTGACTATAGTGTCCCTTTAACCTTACTTTCCTCACCCAAAATGGTAAAAATATACAAAGTCATAAGTGCAAACAGTAAATGACGTATACAGTAATGGAGCACTAAAAAAAGTGTCTGTTTAACCTTCTTGGTAAAATAATAGCTGGGGGGCAACATAAAAAAGAAAAAACAATTGGATATAGGGCAGATGGTATAAAATATGATGGAACGTAGCAGCAAAGGTAACTACCGTAGATACACTTACATGTATTGGAGACTGGGATTATTAACTAATTGAGCAGATATGCCTTTGAAGGAAGCATCACACCTTTCTTCCCACAGCTTGTCACTCAAAGAGAGAACAGGAATGGACCAATGTAGTCTGTTGCATTCAATGGAGTTTAGATGAGAAATATAAAATTGCTCACCTTAAATAGAGTCTTTGGCTCTAAGGGGGTGGGTGGGGGGGGGGGGCTGGGTGACCACATCCGTATACCCACAAGAACTGGATACTGAAAACCACTAAAATGTAAGTACTGTAGAAATGTATATAAAATAGCAACAATACTTTATTGATATATACATAAACACCACTTTGTGTGAAAACTAAATTTAGATAATCCCCTTAATGTGCACACAGTGGAATAGTGCAGCGCTAGGCAAAAGGCTTACCCATACAATATAGGGCGTTCCGGTTACATATGAGAAACGCCCTATATTGTATGGGTAAGCCTTTTGCCTAGCGCTGCACTATTCCACTGTGTGCACATCAAGGGGATTATTATCTAAACTTAGTTTTCACACAAAGTGGTGTTTATATATCTGTTTTTCTGTGTTATTAGGAGGACCCTAAGAGTGCTACAGCTGCTTTAAGATACTTGATATTATATTAAAATTACTAAGCGCCTTATTTTTTCTTTCTCTGAAATACTTTATTGATACTTACAAAAAATAAAATAAAAGTGCAGTAAAAACAATAGCTAGAAACATTAAAGCCAAAACGCATTTAGTCAGATTTGCTATTTTCAGACTGAAAAAGCTAGTACATCTGGCGAAATGCATGTTGGCACTTTTTTAGAAGTTATTGGCTATTGTTTTTACTGCACTAACATTTTTTTTTTATTTTTTTTATGTTGCCTCCTCTGACTTCCTACCTATTATTTTACCAAAAAGGGTAATGCCACCCATTTTAGCATTCCACCACTGTATAAGTGTTTCATTTACTTTTGCACTTATCACTTTGTATATAATTATGAAATTAATTATAAATTTAATCTCCCCACTAAATTCTTCCCTCTTTATCTGCGTTGTAATGCAGTATCTCTCTTCTCCCACGCATTTTGTGTCTTTCTATCTTCTCTTTGTTAAAAATAATTTACTCTACCCCAAAATATATTTCCCATATTTCAGGGGCATTTGTAATTACACTACTGACTGTTCTTTCTTGATCTGATGTAAAAAATATCAATGGCATCCCCATTATTTTTCCTTCCTCTGTGATGAAAGTTGATAAGATTTGTGAGCTTCAGACATGGAAAGAAAAGGTTCCAGGGGGTTAGGCAAGTTTCGTTATGCTCTACTTGCAATAAAAGTTCCTGCAGATGCATAACAGACAAAAACATATACCTGATCTCCAAAAATGTTGCAATTTGAGAATACTAAGTCATTGTACACACAGTGTCTGTACATTTTCTTTAAGGGACACTATAGGCACCAGGGCCGGATTAACATAGGGGATGATGGAGCTGCAGCTTCAGGCCCATGCACATGGAACCTCCGAGGCCTATTGTTAAAAAAATAAAAATTAAAAATGTTCTTATGACTGCAGCCTTTGTAAGTCCTCCCCTTTTTTCCCAGAAGAGACTTTCAGTCTCTTCACAGGGATATAACTCTGACTTGGTCTCCACGCGCACAAGCTTAGGAGCTTGTCTGAGGTCTGTGAGGGAGGGGGTGGCAGGCACGCTAAAGTAGAGCATGCCTGTTACTTCCATTAGCTCAGGAGAGAGAATGGAAGTTGGAAAGAATCCTTCCTTGCTGTTTGACATCCAGGGGGAGTTCCCTTGGTAATTTATGAAAGTGCTGATTTCTCATAGAAATCTAAACTTTCATAAACTGGGGTTAAACTAGAGTACTCGTCACCAGGCTTGAAGTGCTTTTGGGGTGTGAAGTGGTCCTTTAAGTATGGAAACTTTAAAGGGATGTAGGGGAACAAAACTTGTGTGGACTGGCTGACAATGAAATTAGTTAAGGTAAAGCTGACTTGCTGTTTCAGTCTCTCTAACACTGTGGCATGTTTCCTTTCTTCTACATTCACTATATACACATTTCCTCTGTCCCAGACTGTATACCAGGAGCTTATGCCTGCTAGTAAGATGGTAAGGAGAGGAGTTGACCAGCAAGTGCTAGGGGACAGTCCTTAGAAAGCGTGGAGCGAGTGCACATTACACATAACAAATTTATGCCAAGCTCAGGGTGCTGTCTGCATATTATGCCCTTGGTTGGTCATCCTGCGTGATTGGCAGGTGGCATGAAGTGCATTTGCACCAGATACATGATGCTTGGGATGTATAGTTGTTTTAGAGTTTTCTGTCGATAAGATTCAGTAATTAGGCCCATCATAATTGTCAGCACCAGGCCCAAGGGCTCTTATTCTTGCTCTGCAGACCACTTCATCTGATTGAAGTGGTCAAGGTGCAGTGTCCCTGCCCCTGCTCCTTTAACACCAGGGTGTGAAACATTGTAGTTTTAGAGAAAATGCAATGTTTATAATGCAGGGTTAAGACAGCCATTAGAGGCGCTTCCTGTTGTTTTACAGAGTTTGACTCTGTGAATTCATGCTGGCTTGCCCTAAAAGAAATGCATTAATTTAATGCTTTCATTCGGAGAAGGCTTTATGTGCGCACGGCACTTGCTGCTCATGCGCATTAGTCTCCCCCTCGATGCTGACATCAGAGAAGATGGAGAAAGAGGCAGCAAATGGAATAAGGCGAGGTTAGACAGAGGTTTTAACACTTTAGCACAAGAAGGGGGCAGAGGAACACCTGCCTGCTCGGAATACAAAGCTGTTGTATAATAACAGAAGTGTTCCTTTTAGTGATATGAAATTGTAAGTGGTGTTGGACCTTCTTTAATGCCATTCTGTTTATCTATTCTTACATTGTGTTTGTATCCATCATTGACCTTCTAAGTACCATAAACACAAATCTGGGAATCTGAAATGTCCAATTAGTCTTGCAGTTGACCTTTTCAAACCCAACACTGCACACAGAGCACCAGTGTCCCATTGATTTTTCTGTTAAAATGTGTTCCAAGAATCCGTATTGACATATATCCCCGTATCATGTATGCGTATGGTTAAGGAATGTTTAGATATGAATTAGAGCTGTACATTTTTTTTCCAATAAACTCTCCAACCACAGCATGACCTTGCTGTTCTATTTTAATTCCATCCATTACATAAAAACACAATACTCTGTCACAAGAAGGCTAAGTGTAGCTGTAGAAAAATATAGTTTTTTTTTTGTACTGTAATATGAAGTATTTTAATATATTATAAATACAGGATGAAGATGACAATTGTAATAATATTATGATAATCTAGTTTAGGGATAGACCCTAATATACAGCTATCATATTCCGCAACGCTTTACAGTTATACTGCTGGGGGAGCAGGGGGGATAATAACAAAGAAAGGGGGAGGGACAAGCACGAACAGGTGTCTATCTCCAAAAAAAATAATAATAATCACATGTCACATGTTAGAATTTCTGTAGCGCCAACAAATTCCACAAAACTTTACAATTATAGAAAAGGTGATATATTTTTGCTTGAGCCAGCTTAGATTCACAGCTTTTTCTAGCTGGTCATGAGATGTTGAGGGGTTCCTGCATTTTGTTTTTTATTCATGAATTAAGGAGAGCTACCTGTTTGCGAACCAGGTTTATGAAATCTGCGATGTTTAATTTATTCTCTGCTATTTTCCTTGTAATCGACAGCGTCTTCAAAGTGAAAGAAATCCCAAGAATATCAACAAGACCATTCAAGACTTATTTGAAATTATTCCGAGTGATGTTGACTTGATGGACCATAGTCCGTATCGCTGCCGGAGCTGTGCCGTGGTGGGGAATTCTGGTAACCTTAAGAACTCTGAGTATGGAGCAGAAATTGATGACCACGACTTTATATTGAGGTGGGTAAAGATGCATGATCATTTCTAGAATGTTTAACCCCCTAATCAAACCCAGGATTTATAATAATGTAATAATAATATATATATATAATACATTTACAGTAGATTGTAATCACTCTTAAAAAGCAACATCAGCCATAATAAAAAAAACTAGTGTATTGAGTGGAATCCCAACAGTCGATGGAATTGCATACAAAAGGAAGGAGCAGTCATTAAAAAAAAAAAAAAGGTTAAATGTGCTGATGCTATACCATTCAAAGTCATGAAAATCATTTGATAAAAAATACCAAGAACCAGTCGAAATATTAAAGGAAAGGGATTAACACACTGTAACATAAGCTAAAGCCAGAGCCAGACTTAATATCGTTTGCACATTCCAACAGTAGGTGGCGCTGCAGAAAATATACATTGTTATTGAATGAACAGTTTATTCACATTCTCTCTGTGACCGCAAAAAAAAAAAAAAGGTTTTACGCTATTTGTGTAAATAATAACTGAAGAATGTATAGTTATTAAAAACCCTTGTCGTCAAATTAAGGAAAGCAAGTAATGTTTTACTGCGTTTTAAAAATGTTATTTTGTAATATGGTGCTCGTCACAGAACAGTCCTCCCATATCCTCAAAACATTTACCATCAGTTCATCCCATTTTGTATTTTTCATTTTCATCACTCACTTTTTGCTGTATTCTCCATTTCGCTTCCCCATGATCCATTTCCCAACTTGTTTCTTGCTGTCCTGTCCTCCGCTATCACCTCACTTCATTTGCATTAGACTTACCCTGAACCTATTTATTCCTCTCTTTTTAGTCTAATTTCTTTCCCCGGCCTTCATTCTCTCTTAAAGGGTTACTGTAACCCTTTTTTCAAAAATCTCTTCTTAAAGTGAATATGTCCTGTTAGGCAATATTAATTAGCCCCCCACCCCCTCCTAAATGTAGCACTGAAACTTGCAACAAAAAGTTGTTACTTGCCTTGGAATCCAGCACCGGATGAAGCTTCTATTCCACGCCTCTTCCCGACACCACCAAAGTCCAGAGGCTTCTCATAAAGAAGATTTTGAACTGTTTTGCAGGCTTAGAGTGCATGCGCAGTCAGAGAGGGGAGGGAGTTGGGAGGGGATTTAAAGGGAGAAGTTGTACATCTGTCACAAGCTTACTGTGCACTGACTACGACATTTTTGCAAATAATTGATATTAGGCAGTAAGGAACTTAGTCACATGTTCCAAGGGCGTAACTATCCCCATGCACAAAAGTGATTTTACATCTGAAAGTGCAGTCTTGAGCTGAAACGCTGCACATCCAGACTCTTACCACCAGGACCACTTCAAATCACTAAAGTGGTCATGATGGTTGGAGGGACCCTTTAAACCCACATATTAATGCTATTCTCCCAGTTATAATACATTAAATTTTTACATCTCCCTGCTACAATGTCTCCCTCCTACCACTCTTTCCCCATGAACGCTTAACTCTTGTAATTGTCTTGTTTTTCTGTCCGGATATTTCCTTGCGTCTGCCAGACAGAGGACAGACGTTTGTGTCCAGCCAAACCCGGACCTACGGTTTCCTTAGCATTATCAGAACAACTTCATAAGCACAAAGTCCTTACAGGTATTCCGTTATAAATGACAGATTGTACAAAATCTAGCCAACGCACAACTTGGTTAAAGGTTAGATTGCTCCCTACATAATACACACATGGTCCAAGTCAAACAGGAAAATATATGCCTTAGAATGCAAGCTCATTTGAGCGAGGCTCTCGGCACATTTTGTTCCTGTACTTCCGTCATGTCTTCTGAAAACTACTTGTTTGTTAGTCCACTTATTAAATAGCACTACAGAGTTTGTTGCCACTTTATAAATCATAATAATATGCCTCAGGTAACCTCAAATTAAGCATGGCGTATTGAAATATTTAGGTTATTTCCAAAAATGAATACACTGCTAAAACTATTTTTATGCATGACTACACAAAGAGTAATAGGATTAAATTATATAGTAATGAAAAGCAGCTCCTGTTTGTCTTCCATACAAACAAACCCCTCTCTTACATAACACATAAAACATAACACAGGGTAATACCCTAAAATATCACCGGTTTATTGAATAGACAGTTTATTGTTTACATTATAGATTAATAGTTTTCATTCTCAACATCTTTCTTCACCCGTCTCACCGGTGCTGTTAGGACTCTTCAAACCATAGCTTCAGTTCCCCTGGCAACAAGTCTGTCCTATGTTAAAAAAAAAATAATGTACACACATTTAATTCTAGTATAAAACCCAACAGATTAAATGATTTGCTAAATGTATAAATACAGATTGTTTAGAATAATATGAATTTTTAAATAAAAAAAGGGTGTTCTTAAATATATCTCCCAGAAAATTATGTAATTTAATTTCAACATTAAAGGGAACTGTCATTTTAATTTTCCAGTATTTTTCTTATTAAAAGTATCTATCTGCTATATGTCACATATATCTGTGAGATGTGAAAAATAACATTAAATGTAGAAACCCACACTACTTTATTCTGCAACTGGACTCCTCCATCTTAACTCCCTGTCAGTCATTGTTAGACGCTCTGTGCTTTGCCCCTAGTATAGAAAACATACAAGCTGTACTTAGACTGAACTGAATTATTAGTGGCATTTGCTAAATCTTTGATAGTAATTAATTAGAAGGTTACTCCAACCACCATGACCACTTCTGCTTTTACAATTGGTTATGGTGGTAGGAGTCTGTATGTGCAGAGGTTTTGCCTGAAATGCTTCACATACTGAGATATTTGCACCTCCGGCACACGTGACGGTGGAAGCATGGAACTGCCAAATGTCGATTCTATGCAAAAAATATAGGAGGTCTAAAGAATAATGCCCAATATGGCATTATTTTTTTGTTTTGTTTTTAACAAGCCAGCAAATAAGGGTTGTTGCAATCCTTTAAAGGAATATAGATTGTAAGATTATTCAAGCAGGCTCCTCAATAACCTCTTGTTTCCAGTTAATATTTGTGATAGTTTGTATCTTATTTGCTAGACTTGTGCAAACATTTGTATCGAATAGTTTGTCCGTCTTAATCAAATGCCTTTTAATCCAATCCCGGACGAATCGATCATTATTGAATAAGACTTTACAGGTAAATCCCAAACAATTGAATTGTTCAAACATTCTATTCACGGGGGCAACCCTAATGGTACAATATCTTACAGAGCTGAGGAAAAGGGAGCACCAGTTGGGTCACTTATTTTAGCAGATTTTGGACTTCCTGCACCATTTATTAAGAAATTGGCAGTCCCACCAAATGTAGTAGTACTTCACTCATTACAGTACCACTAGTAAGAAAAATGAGGAAGATGATAAATACCAAGGATTCGAATGTTACCACTTAGTTCCCAGTGTGTGAGACATCTTGAAGTTGTTTTCATAGCAAATGCGGCTTTTTACCATTTATTGCAGTACATTCTTTCTCTCACTCCTTCTCCCATTTTTGGTAATTTTGCCGAAGCTGTTAAGAGTTATAACAAATCGATATTGATCCTTTAATGGGGAGTTGGCCGTTGAAAACGTAGAGGGATTTTGAAAAAAAATTATTTTACATGGGCTGTTTAAGTTTGCAGAGATAATCAGAAATCAGAAATTGATAATCCCAGTTAATGTCCAGCTTTTAATGGATGAGTCTTGCAGCAGTATAAGTAAAATTGTTAGAGGAGTATATTATGGACACTTGTTTTGCCAGTCCAGGTGCATTTATTGAACATTGTGAAAGAGGAACAGAGTCACATGTTAAAGAGTGTATTTAGCTTAGTTAAGCAGTTTTGGTGTATAGATCATGCCTCTGCCGTTTTACTGCTCAATCCTCTGCCATTTAGGAATTAAATCACATTGCTTATGCAGCTCTAGTTACACCTTCCTGCATGTGACTTACACAGCCTTCCTAAACATTTCCTGTAAAGAGAGATGTAATGTTTAAAACTTCCCCTGTAGCACATTTGTTAAATTTAGAATTTCTTACCTCCTTATTTCTTATCTCCTGCTCTTTTTTACCTATGTGTGATCAAAGTTAAATTTACAGATCAGTACTCCCAGGCACAGCCCAGCCCGGTACCACTACCTAACAGTGCTGTGGCGCGATGGGGGACCTCCTCATACTCACCAAACTGCCTTAACAGAGGATACCAATCACCATAAAACCCACGATCCCCACCAGGGACAACAAGCCCACGACATGCTCATCACAAGACAGGGGACTTATGCAACCATACCCTCTTACTACGCCTCGGCTGGACACTGGAAGAGCACTGACTGGGAGGACTCCCACCGCCTACTGCTCCGGGCACTAACCCGACGGCTGATGGGGATCGGTTAGACCACACAGGCTGGACATTACGTTATTTAGTACAGATGCAGCACACTAAGCTTAACACAATATGTGCACTCAATTTTTTTTTATTTTTTTTTGCCTATACCTGAGCTGGCCATCTTGCAAGCAAGCGACATATTATATATAATTATTAGCCCTAGTGGAATCTTAACAATCTAGAAATCGCTAAACAAATGTCACTATACCTTTCACTCATGCATAATATGCCATAGAAATGCCTAAATCTATAGTGCTAAATGTATGATCCTTCGCTATGTCTATACTCGTATCTTACCTTTTCTGTTGAGCAGCATAGAAGAACTCCTAGATAAGCAACATTACTATATAAAAATGTGCAGTACTCTTTCATGCCTAACTAATGTACCTATATGTTAGCAAACTGCTTACCCTAGCTGTTGTGGCACTGTAAGCCTGATGTGATATATCCGTGCACAAATAAAATAAAGAATTAAAAAAAAAAAAAAATTACAGATCAGTAGATAAAAAAATCTCTAAAGCAAGTTAACAACTGATTTAAAATGAAACCTTTTTTCATGCAGGCTGTGGCAGGGCAGTCACAACCATGGAGGGGTGGCTAGGACTGCAAACAAAAGTGATTTAACTCTGAATGGCAGAGAATTAAGCAGTGAGACTGCAGGAGGATGATCTATGCACCAAAACTGCTTCATTAGGCTAAAGTTGTTGTCCTGGCTATAGTGTCCCTTTAATGTGCATCAGGCCTTGTGTAGAATGGGTTGTCTAGTGGTGGGTGTCTGTGTGTAAACTGGTATGTTATTTGTGCTAAAAATATATATAATCATTTTCATGATTTGGGGTACTAACAGCTAGGCTTTTTTAGACTAACTTTACATTTTCAATTGAGTAGAATCCAGTACTTAGTGAATAAACCCCATTAAATGTAAAGCATCAACAGCATGCCAATAAACTAAACAGAACACATAGTGGATTTCCCTGAGTTTGTCAAGCAGATCAACATACAGAAAGCAAGTGCCAACTCACAAAGATCTCTCCTTTTATTTACACCTCTGCAAACTAATATAAACGTGTTCATTAGGAGAACCACTAAGACTAAACTGACAAATTTATTTAAAAAAAAAAAAGAAAGTATTTTTAAACGCCAACACATTCTGCAGCGCTGTAGACAATAGGTGGACATACAGAAACGTATTTGTAACAAGACAAGTGTGATGAACAGAGGCTGTTGAATGCCCTTCTCAAACCAGCTTACATTCTGTACACACACACAGCTCTGAATAAGGTGTGCACTGCCACTTAGTGTGTAGAATTTACATGAAGCTGACACAATGACAGGTTCACGTTAAAGACCCTGTGTCAGTGTTGTGTCCTGAATATTAAGAACAGAAGCACTAAAGTGACAAAACCCATGATGGAAGATATTACTTGGAGACTGTGTGCTTAATCCTTTGAGTATCAAACACCATACTTTGCAAATCCGGGAGATGGACAACCCTCTGGCACTTAAATGGTTAATAGGTCTTTTCTTTAGCTTCTGGTTTGCCGAGCTCAGGAGATCCGGTGACACTCGGCAGAGCTGTGCATTTTGTCTGTTGTTTGGTGAACATTGCACTGCTATTCATGTGGTTTTGTTGTTGTTTCTTAGAACGTTGATTCTATCAGCATTTCTTTGTTCAGACTATAATTTAAGACGTTGAAAACAAAATTGAGGAAAGAGTGCTGTGTGCAATTACAGGCTCGATTTAGCTATGTCTCCCATTGGCAGCTTTTTGTGTCTTGATTAGTGTCCACATCTTTAGGGTATTTGTCTGAAAGAGGGGGCAAATCTACCCCAATACATTTTAGGTACCTTCATAGCTTGCTGGTACCCATTTATTGAAAATGTAATTAGAATAAGTCTATATCAGGGGTGGCCAAAAGGTAGATCCCCCAGATGTTTTAAAAATTACAGCGTTGTCATTCTGAAAGCATTCTAAAGACATGCAAAGCATCATGGGAGATGCAATTCTACAACATCGGGATTTACCTTTTGGGCACCCCTGGTCTAAATAATCCTATTTACACAGCCACATTTCTAAACACTTTTATTAAATACGTATACGTTTAAAGACGTGGTAGTGTGACTTATATTACTGTGAAGCTCTGTTATACATTCAGAGTCACATTGTGGCATTCCTGCAAACAGGAAGAATAGGATAGAAAAAAAAAATAAGCAGTGGGATTTGGACACAAAATAGGGACAATTGGGAGGTATGCTCTGTTATTACACTCGGACACACCAACAACATTGAGCTCCTACAAAACATGGATAGAAACGATAGACCGAGAGGGACTGTCCCTCCTAAATAGGGACACTTGGGAGTTATGGTATAATAGTGATTGAAACAACGTACATATGTAACAATGCATCTTGTGCTTTTCAGGATGAATCATGCCCCTACAACCAAGTATGAAGCAGATGTTGGAAGAAAAACCACTCACCATTTTGTTTACCCAGAGAGTGTGCGAGACCTACAGGAGAATGTCACGATGGTCCTTATACCTTTCAAGACCCTCGACCTCCAGTGGATTGTCAGCGCCCTCACTAACGGAACCATCAATTTGTAAGTGAGACAAGGCTCCTTAATGACTGCAGAAATACATTGTGAGCATATTGTCACCAGCCATTCATCGTATCTGCATTCACATCACCTGCTTCCCCTACAGAAAACCATTCATCTTGTCGGCACGTGAAATAAGCAATCCAGCATCTGTTATGTTTTAATTAGAATTCACTCATTTACTGATCCTGGTTAATGAAGATGGGATGTTTATTAAATACTTTTACATTGAAGCAGGAATAATTAGTATCACTGTAGTACTGGTAGTGGGATCGAGGGAGATAAATTATGTGGGTTTAGAAAGCTATTAAGGGAATATTTTATGCATGTTTTATTTATTTTAACAAAAAAAATTAGAAAACATCTAAATATTAAATATGTAGCTATAAGGAAACACACCTAGAGGAATATACTAGAGGTGAGTTTAAACCTGCAATCAAACGTTGCTGTTTCTACAAAATTGCTGTGTTTTACATTGCAGGGTTTAACTACAGGGTCATTGCAAGGCCACTGCACCTAGACCACTTCATCGAGAGGGTGTTTAGTGGTCCTTTAATGTACAATACATGGGACAAATTAGAAAGCAGTTAAAACTGCAATTTGTTTCTCATTTAGGTGAGGACCAGCACGGGAGCAGAGGGAATGTTGAGTGCTGCTATATGGGTTTTTATTTTTTATTTGCTGCAATGAGATACTTTGGTGATAGTAACAGGCTTAAATAAGCAGGGCGTTAATTAAGATATATATACTGTATATACTCGAGTATAAGTCGAGTTTTTCAGCACATTTTAACTCGACTTATACTTGAGTCAATGTCTGTATTATGGCAACTTACATTGCCATAATACAGACAAGGACTGCCGGGCTCATTACAAGCCCGGTGGTCCTGTTGGGGGCTGGCAGCGAGCTGTTACTTACCTTTCCTGCAGCTCCTGTCAGCTCCCTTCTCCTCCACTGTAAATCTCGCGTGAGCCGCGGGGTCAGAGCATTGCCACGGGTTACTGCCAGCCCCCCTCCTACACAGCCCACCAGGGAATGAGAGCCCCCCTCCCTGGCCAGTTAACAAGCAGGGAGGGGGGACGAAAAAAATATAAATAAAAAATTTAATAATATTAAAATAAAAAAATATTAATATAAATAAAATAATAATAACCCCCACCAAGGCTCTACATCACATACACACACTGCATTCATACACACACAGACACTGCATTCATTCACACACACACACACACACACTGCATTCCTACAAACACACTGCATTCATACACACACAGACACTGCATTCATTGACACACACACACACACACACACACACACTGCATTATATACATACACACACACACACACACAGCATTCATTATATACACACACTGTAAATAAATATTCAATTAATATAATTTTTTGGGGATCTAATTTTATTTAGAAATTTACCAGTAGCTGCTGCATTTCCCACCCTAGTTTTATACTCGAGTTAATAAGTTTTCACAGTTTTTTGGGAGTAAAATTAGGGGTCTTGACTTATATTCGGGTCGACTTATACTCGGGTATATACGGTACTTTTTTAGAACAAGCTGTAACTGGTGTTGTCATTGAGAAGCAGCTTGTGTGCTTGTTAATAGATAACTAGGCACCAGAGAGGCTATAGGATGAGATGCTTAAATACCCTGGATCTCAGAAGATTTTTTTTTTGACAATCACGTGTTTATTAGGATTTTAAGTAATGAATACAGAACAGAACATAGTACAAGAAGGAAATTCCCAGCACCCAATCATATGATGGTGAAGTCTTGTGGTTGCCTCGATGCCCGAGTGCTGCATCCCCTGTCCCCTTCTGCTAGGGCTCCCCCTCCTGTTCCCCATCTCGTCACCTTCCACCCCACCCCCCCCCTCACCCTCTCAACCGGTTTCTGTACCACGATACGTAATACCAGGGCCAGTATACAAGTATTAGTTTGTTGCCCGTCACATCCCCTGCTCATTTCACTATGGCTAGGGCTCCTAAGGTTCTTCGCCTCAAGCATCCCTGTTCCATGCGTCAGGGCCTGTGCCGCAAGTCCTTCCTGATAGCAGTTTAGTGTGGGCGTTGCGTCTGGTGCCCCCACGACCACTGCCGGTGAGTTTTGTGGAGTAATCTCCTGTCACCTCTTGGCGGGCGCCCCCCCGAGGCTGTTCCCCTCTCCAGTCCCTCCAGTGTGCTTGTGAGTCCTAATATTGAATTAGATCCATTACATCTCATTGTCCCCACTCTTCCCCCTTGGCTATGTTGTTCCACTCTTCCACCTTATCATCCCCCCCTTGTCCCTTGTCCCTAGAGCTCTAGAACCACCTTACCCACCTTCCCGCAGCGTATGGCTTAGGTCTCCCCTGCCCTTCCTCCCCTCCTCCCCTCCCCTCCCCATCCGTGCCTCTACACTCCGTCCTATGTCAGGGGTGTTAACTAGTCGTCTGTCCCTGGTTAACGTTGCTCTTGTGCTAGGCTTGCGCCCAGTGTGTCCCCATCCCAATCCCCCCGCTCCCCCCACTCGCAGCAAGTCCCCCCCCCGGCCACCCCCCTGCCGGTACTATTGTCACTCGGAACCTGCGGAGGTCGTCGCCGGTCACCCCAGGGCATCTCCCCCCCCGTGGGTCGGCAAGGTCGGCGGCACCGCGGCATCTCCTTCTCCCTCCCCCCCCGGAGCGCCCCCCCCGCCTTGCTCTCTTGGTCATGTAGTCCACCCACGGGAACCAGGTCGTTGCACATTTGTCCGTGCGTCCCTGCAGGGAGGCAGTCATCATCTCAAGGTTATATATGTCTTCCACCTTATCCACCCATTGCTGGAAGGTGGGGACTGTGCTACTTTTCCAGTGAATTGGGATTAGGATTTTCGCTGCCGTTAGCAGGTGTACGGTCAGACCCTTTTTATAACTCCGCAGCGGTGTTTGCGTGTGATTAAGCAACATTTGCAACGGCTGCAGGGGGAGGTCTGCGTCCGCTATTTCCCTAATTGCTTCATGTATCTGCTTCCAATACGGCGTTATTAGCGAACACGACCACCAGATGTGAAGTCTTGTACCCTGTTCCACGCCGCACCTCCAGCACTCCCCGGGGATTGACTCGTGGACATGACGTAATACATCTGGGGTTCTGTGCCAACCCGTTAAGATTTTGTAGTTACATTCCTGGTATTTGGAGCAGATGCTCCCTTTGTGCGTCAGCATAAAGATTTTGTCCCACTCGCTGTCCGTGAGACTCGTTCCCGTCTCTTGTTCCCAGCGCTTGGTGAATCCCAGGGGGGTCCCGCCGCTCTGCAGCTGGAGCATGGCATACAACGTGGACCATGCACGAGGTGTTGCCTGTCCACGCATGCCTGCTCCAGCGGTAGCAGTGTTCTATGGATGTTGCCTTTTCCCGCTAGGGAGAGGTAATACCTGTGCACTTGGTGGTAGCGGAATTCATCCAATCCGGTCGGGGTGTGTTCTGGGATTAGATCCTGTAGTGGTTTGAGGGTTACCTCAGTACACCATTGCCGCAGATAGGTCCATTCCGTCGCCGTGTAGCTCTCGAGGTCCGCCCGCTTAAGTCCTCCCGCAAGCCGCGGGTTGTTTGTTATAGGAATCAGCGGGTTTGGCATCGTGGTCAATTGCTTTACGTATCTGGTCCTACACCACACACGCATTGTGGAGTCTATCATTGGATTACCCGTGTGAATGTCACCCAGAGCCGTGCCGTCCAGCCACAGCAGGGAGGGAATTCGTCCTTGCGCTTGTTGACGCTCCATGTCCACCCACTGCTTGGCGGTCGGGAACACGTGCCAATCCACCAGGCGGCATAGATGGGTCGCCTGGTAGTAGGTGATTACCGATGGGAGACCCGTGCCCCCCGCATGCTTCGGTCGTTCCAGAACTGACCTGCCAATACGAGCCACTCCCCGAGTCCCAAAAAAATTCCGTATGGCGGTCGTTAGGGACTGAAAGAACGATCGCGGGATAGACATCGGCAGCGTCTGGAACAGGTAAAGGATTCTTGGCATTGCGTTCATCTTAATGGCATTGATCCGCCCGAACCAGGAGATGTATTGTGAAGTCCATTTTTTCATGTCCCTCTGTAGGGTCGTGAGAAGAGGTGTAAAGTTGAATGTGTATACGTCTTTTAAGTCGTTTGGCAGCCATATTCCCAAATATTTGAGCTTCGACTGGCATACCCGGAATGGAAAGTGCTCGCGAAGGTGCCTCAGCATGGCGTCTCCTGAAGTCAGTGGCATGGCCTCCGATTTGTCTAGGTTGAGCGAGAGGTTCGAGACCACAGCATACTCTCTGAACGCTTTCAACAGGTTAGGTATTGAGATCCGAGGCTGTTCCAGGAAAAATAGCATGTCGTCCGCGTAGGCCGCCACTCTATGTTCTCCCCGGCCCACGCGGAGCCCCGAGATACCCCCGTCCTGTCTGACCGCCTCCAGAAATGGTTCTAGAGTGAGGGCAAACAGAAGGGGGGACAGCGGGCATCCTTGCCTCGTACCGTTGCAGATCGTGACTGGATCAGAGAGTGCACCATTGACCCTGATTCGCGCCGACGGTCTCGCGTATAAGGCCTCCACCCAAGTGCGGAGGTGCTGCCCAAATCCCATATGCCTTAGTGTCTCCAAGAGGAACGTCCAGTCCACGCGATCAAACGCCTTCTCAGCGTCTGTAGATAAGAGCACCAGCTCCCGCCTGTTTGTCCTCGCCACGTGTATGACGTTTAGGGCTCGAATCGTATTGTCCCGGGCTTCCCTACCCGGAATAAATCCGACCTGGTCGGAGTGTATGAGGTCAGGCGCCACCCGAGCCACTCGCAATGCCAGAGCCTTGGCGAAGACCTTCAGGTCCGCGTTTAATAGCGAGATGGGCCTGTAGCTCGCGCAGTTCGTGGGGTCCTTGCCCTCTTTTGGGATGAGCGCTACCGTCGCCCTTAACGTGTCCGCCTGGAACCGGCCTCCCGTGCGCAGTGAATTGCACCCCTCTAGGAGTCTCGGCAATAGGACCTCCCTGAACTCGCGGAGGTATCTCACCGGCAGGCCATCCGGGCCCGGGGCCCTGTTGGGCCGGGCTGCTTTCAGTGCTCCCGCAAGCTCCTCCAGTGTCATAGGTTGATCGAGCTCAGCTTCCTGCTCCGGGGTTATCTTGCGGGCCACGTGTCTGCCCAGGTAAGCGGCGACCTGCACCCCATGCCGCCTTCTCTGGGATTCGGACCGGGTGCCAGCTAAATCGTACAATGCCTCGTAATATTTTTGAAATGCTCGCAGGATGCCATCCGGGAGGTGAGTGACTGTTTGCCCCTGCGTGCGAATCTTATGTATATGCTGCGCCCTCCTCTTATCCTGGAGCATTTTTGCGAGTAGCCTGCCACATTTGTTGGAATGCTCGTAAAAGAACCTTGCCGCCTTACGCGCAGTATGTAGCATGCCCTGGGTTAGTATGGTGCGGAGCTCTCGCCGTGTCTCCGTCAAGAGGCAATAGGTCTCGTCATCTAACGTGCGTTTATGTGCCTGTTCCAGCTCCGCCACCCTTCCCGCCAGCCGAACCAGTCGAGCTGTGCGTTCCTTTTTGCGCTTCGTGCTGATCGCTATGAGGCGTCCCCGGATGACACACTTGTGCGCCTCCCAGAGCGTCAGTGGGGCTATCTCTGGCGAGCTATTACTGGTAAAGTAGTCCGTCAGTGCTTGTGACACCTCTGCCACCACGAGGGGATCGTCCAACAGGGTCTCATTGAACCGCCATTGCCTTTCCGTGGGTTTGAAAAGGGGGGCACTCGTATGTACTATCATGGGCGCGTGGTCTGACTGTTCCATGCTCCCTATCTCCGACCCCTGCAGCACCGCCAAATACTCTTGCGCCAGGAATACGTAATCTATGCGGCTATAGTGGGTGTGGACCGTCGAGTAGTAAGTGTAATCCCTATCCTCGGGATGGTTCGCCCTCCAGCAGTCCACTAGGCCCAGTTTGTGCAGGGAACGCAGAGTCGCCCTCAGGCAGTGTGTGGGGATAGTGCTAACACCCCTGGACGTATCCCTACGAGGGTCCAACGGGAGGTTGAAGTCACCCGCCACCACCAGCAGTCCCTCTCGAAACCTCCCCAACTTGGCCAGCGTCTGCCCGATGAACGTATGTTGCCGTCTGTTGGGGCAATATAGGCACGCAAAGGTGTATGTGGTGTCCGCTATATTGCCTTTGATAAACAGGTACCGTCCCTGGGGATCCGCCTGTAGGCCCGTGCAGCGAAACTGTATCGTACTCGCGAACAATATCGCCACTCCAGCCTTTTTGGCCTCCGGGTGGTTGGCATAAAACCCGATGGAATATCGTTTATCTCCCAGCTTCGGGGCGTCCCCTTGACGAAAATGCGTCTCCTGCAGGAACACCACGGACGCTCTCGCGGCCCACAGCCGCCGCATAAGCAAGGAGCGCTTCTCCGGGATGTTGAGGCCTCTAACGTTGAGGGACCAGAATGTTAGTCCAGCTGGTGTGAATCCCGTGCCGCCCCGCCGCGCCCCGGAGGGGGGATCCGCACTTGCCATAACCCCGGTGCGACCCACAGGGGGGTGACCGCGAGGGAAGCAGCAACGCAGGGCGAGAAGAAAGGAAAAAAAAAAAGGGAGAAGGGGAGTCGGGAAAGTACTTATTAAGGATGTGACTGTAACCCTGTACCGGTTTTCGTCGGTCAGTTGTGGAACGTCCCCTCCGTCCCCAAATGCCCCGGTATTATGTACAGTATGGGTCTGTCACAGTGAGGTTCTACCGTGTCTCCGTCTATATGGAGCGGTCTCAGTCGTCTATGTCGTGCCTACCCTCTCCTCCCGTGGCTCCCAACCTGTCAGAATAGCTATATTCCCGTGTTTGCCCTGGGGGAAGCCCACCATCACGTCGGCAACCGCCTCGTTCTCTAGAGGCCCTCGGGCCCCTCTGGCCCGCAACGGCCAGCCCTGTTGCACTGTCTTCCACCTCCAGGCTGCCTACTCCTCCCATCTCGACCCTCCGGTGCTTCCGCAGCCAACCGTGCTCTCCTCCTGATCCCCGATCCCATCTGCCCCCTCAGTGCCTCTACCCTACCCTGGGCGAGCCAGAAATGCAGGTGTCTTACCCCCTGCCATCCTTCCACCACCCCAGGCCATGTCTCACCTGCCCCCCCCCTGTTGCCGCCCCGTCTGGGCTTTTTCCATGAAAGTACCCCCCTCACCGCAGGAATGCCTGCGCCCCTCATCAGGCGCTTCAGCTATCCCATCTCTCCCCGCTCTCCTACCGTGGGCCAGGTTAAGGCTTGACCCCGACCAGCTAGCTTCCGCTCCTCCCCTCTCTCGACCACTCTCAACCTTCCTCTATCTCCGTGCTTCCTCCATCCGCCGGTTCTAACGGTGTACCCGTTGGGGGTGAAAAAAAAAAAAACAGCATACCTACGGCACTAGAACTATGTACACTCCAAGCTACCACCCACAGCTCCCCTCCCGTTGCCCCTAGTGCGCCATGTGGATGTTGAGACAACCCCCCATACTCCTGGGCATACAGCAACTGCACATACCCCCGAAGACCCCCCAGGTCAGGTCCAGCAGTCTCTCCCCGATTCCCAACGGACGCCAATGTGCATCCCGTGGCCCGTTCCTCCCTCCCCACCTCTCTTTCTCCCCCGTCCAGCCCCCCCTCTAGTGAGCCACCATCACTCCCGTGGGCCTATCTCAAACCCCCCATACCCCCCACCCAACCTGCTGGAGCCCCGGGGGTACCTGCCCTCCATATATCGTCCACCCTGCCGTGTCTCTGCTCAGCTCCGTTGCGGCTGGGGCCCGGGGAGTCCGGGTCCCTGCCGGCCAGGGCAGCGGTCCGTCGTCTATTCCTCCGGCCCCACTGGGCCACCTCTGCGTTGCTGCGATCCAGACGTTGGGTGGAGATTATGGGCCACCTCCGCCGGTCCTGTCGCTCGCGCCGGTGGTCCCTCCAGAATCCAGTTCGGGATCCGCATCTCCGGTAAACCAGCCGCCACTAGAAAACGCGGTACCTCATTCAGCCATCGGATGCTGTGCCACGTGGCTCCGATCCGCGCCTGTAGACTAAAGGGGAACCCCCACCGGTAGGGAATCCTCCGCTCCTGCAGCAAGCGAGTAAGTGGTCTCAAAGCTCTCCGGGTGTCTAGAGTGATCGGTGAGAGGTCCTGGTATAGCGAGACCTCAGCGTCCATGTATAGGATCCGTGGCTGCGCCCTGGCCGCTTGCATAATGGCCTCCTTAAGCTGGAACGAGGCCAGGGCGCAGACCACGTCCCTTGGTAGGCCATCTCTCCTGGGTGCTCTCAAGGCCCTGTGGGCTCTCTCTATGCCAAAATCCTCTGGGGCATTCTCCCCCAGCAGCTGCGCGAAGAGGCCTGTGAGTATCTCTTGCGGCACCTCTCCCTCTGCTTCCGGCAGGCCCCGGATTCTGATATTATGTCGCCGTCCTCGGTTGTCTAAATCCTCAACTTGCCGCCGGAGATCTAACAGGATATTCCCCTGCCGGGTAGTAGCCAGGTCCGTGGCCTGCTGGCGCTGGTCGGCTTGCAGGCGGCCGGTCTCAAGCCCATCTACACGCTGCTCCAGGGCATTGAGGTCAGTCCGCAGCACCGCCACCTCCTCCCTGATGATGGCGCGCAGTTCAGACACCATGTCCGCCTTGTCTGCGCGCGTTAACATGCTGGCTGTAATTCGGGCGACGTCTGCCGCCAGTTGATGCAGGGTACCCGCCATCGGGGAGCCTCTACCTGAGGTGGTGGCGCTTGATCCAGGGGATGTGGGGCCCGGGGTGTCAGAGTCCCCGCCATCTCGGAGGCCTCGTGGCGTCGCCAAAAACCCGTCCATCGGGCCAGGCGGGTATCGGGTCCCCGTCGGGCCGGAGTGGTCCTGGGATGCTGCTCTTCTAGTCTTCCCCATTGTGGAACGAAATACCGCTGAATTCAGGCTGTGACACCAGGCTTGACAGGCTGGGGCCTAGGAGCTCTGATGGAGTGCGACTTACTCCATTGACGGTCAGGCCACGCCCCCGGATCTCAGAAGATTGCCCAGTTTAAAGAGCTGCTAGAAATGCTTATTTTGATCAAAGAGCTTGTTAGTGCTTTTTGGTAGAAGTATAAAAATCGGCTACAGTCAGGTCCATAAATATTGGGACATCGACACAATTCTAATCTTTTTGGCCCTACACACCACCACAATGGATTGATTTAACTGCAGACTTTCAGCTTTTACATCCAAATCAGGTGAACGGTGTAGGAATTACAACAGTTTGTATATGTGCCTCCCACTTTTTAAGGGACCAAAAGTAATGGGACAGATTAACAGTCATAAATCAAACTTTCACTTTTTAATACAAGGTTGCAAATCCTTTGCAGTCAATTACAGCCTGAAGTCTGGAACGCATAGACATCACCAGACGCTGGGTTTCATCCCTGGTGATGCTGTGCCAGGCCTCTACTGCAACTGTCTTCAGTTCCTGCTTGTTCTTGGGGCATTTTCCCTTCAGTTTTGTCTTTATCAAGTGAAATGCATGCTCAATCGGATTCAGGTCAGGTGATTGACTTGGCCATTGCATGACATTCCACTTCTTTCCCTTAAAAAACTCTTCGGTTGCTTTTGCAGTATGCTTCGGGTCATTGTCCATCTGCACTGTGAAGCGCCGTCCAATGAGTTCTGAAGCATTTGGCTGAATATGAGCAGATAATATTGCCCGAAACACTTCAGAATTCATCCTGCTGCTTTTGTCAGCAATCAAATCATCAATAAATACAAGAGAACCAGTTCCACTGGCAGCCATACATGCCCACACCATGACACTACCACCACCATGCTTCACTGGTGAGGTGGTATGCGTTGGATCATGAGCAGTTCATTTCCTTCTCCATACTCTTCTCTTCCCATCATTCTGGTACAAGTTGATCTTGGTCTCATCTGTCCATAGAATGTTGTTCCAGAACTGTGAAGGCTTTTTTAGATGTTGTTTGGCAAACTCTAATCTGGCCTTCCTGTTTTTGAGGCTCACCAATGGTTTACATCTTGTGGTGAACCCTCTGTATTCACTCTGGTGAAGTCTTCTCTTGATTGTTGACTTTGACACACATACACCTACCTCCTGGAGAGTGTTCTTGATCTGGCCAACTGTTGTGAAGGGTGTTTTCTTCACCAGGGAAAGAATTCTTTGATCATCCATCACAGTTGTTTTCCGTGGTCTTCCGGGTCTTTTGGTGTTGCTGAGCTCACAGGTGCATTCTTTCTTTTTAAGGATGTTCCTAACAGTTGATTTGGCCACACCTAATGTTTTTGCTATCTCTCTGATGGGTTTGTTTAGTTTTTTCAGCCTAATGATGGCTTGCTTCACTGATAGTAACAGCTCTTTGGATCTCATATCGAGAGTTGACAGCAACAGATTCCAAATGCAAATAGCACACTTGAAATGAACTCTGGACCTTGTATCTGCTCCTTGTAAATGGGATAATGAGGGAATAACACACCTGGCCATGGAACAGCTGAGCAGCCAATTGTCCCATTACTTTTGTCCCTTGAAAAGTGGGAGGCACATATACAAACTGTTGTAATTCCTACACTGTTCACCTGATTTGGATGTAAATACCCTAAAATTAAAGCTGAAAGTCTGCAGTTAAAGCACATCTTGTTCATTTCAAATCCATTGTGGTGGTGTGTAGGGCCAAAAAGATTAGAATTGTGTCGATGTCCCAATATTGATGGACCTGACTGTATGTCCCATTTGGTAAAATATGTGTTAAGCTGTATGCAGAACGCGTGGCCCATGTCTATACCATGATACCTTACTACTAAGGTCCCTCAATGCTATTTTCTCATATTTTACTGTCCAGTACTGTAAATGTTAAATTCTATGCAAATGATCTCAGTCCAATCAGAGCATGACTTTAGCTGCAGTAGGGATCCCTGGAGGTGATATTCTACCAAACATTTGAGTCCCAGAGTGCGATCCCTACTCACCTATAACTCTATTGCGGCAGTCTGGGAGAGCATTCACACACAAACCAGATGGAGTCTGTGTAACCTCTGTAACCATTAAGGGTAGGACGCTCTTGCCATATATAATGTTCCCGATATGTTTATTCATTGTCAGAATTCTGAATTTGCAAGTATTATGCCTAAGGCAGTAAACCCCAGAGGACTCTGTGTCTACAGCTAGGGTAACACATTGACAGCAAATTGTCACAATTATTTTAAGCTTTTTACCACTGCAGGATAAATGAAAAAAAATAAAAAAAATACCTTGTTTGCAAATATGTTAAACACTGCATTTCGAACTTTCACTTTATAATCTAGTTTGATATACCGTATATACTCGAGTATAAGACGAGTTTTTCGGCAAATTTTTTGTGCTGAAAAACCCCCACTCGTCTTATACGCGAGTCATTGTCTGTATTATGGCAACTTGCATTACCATAATACAGACCAGGACCGCCGGGCCCATTACAAGCCCGGCGGTCCTGTTTGGGGCTGGCAGCGAGCTGTTACCTTTCCTGCAGCCCCTGTCAGCTCCCTTCCCTCTCCTCGGGTCCAGTCAGCTCCCTTGTCAGCTCCACTGTAAGTCTTGCGAGAGCTGCAGGGTCAGAGCGTTGCCATGGGTTACCGTGGCAACGCTCCACGCGGCATTCAGACCGCGAGACCTACAGTGTAGCGGACAGGGGAGCTGACCGGACCCGAGGAGAGAGAAGGGAGCTGACAGGAGCTGCAGGAAAGGTAAGTAAGAGCTCTCTGCCATCCCCCCTTCTACACAGCCCATCCACTGGACCACCAGGGAATGAGAACCCCCCTCCCTGGCCAGCTAACAAGCAGGGAGGGGGGACAAAAATAAATAAATCAAAAATTAAATAATATTAAAATAAAAATATTAATATAAAAACTAATAATAATAATAATAAAATTAAAATAATGTAACAAAAATAATTTAAATAATTAAAATAATAATAATAATTATAAAAATGCCCACCCCCCCCACCAAGGCTCTGCATCACATACACAAACACACTCTGCATCACACACACTCTGCATCACACACACTCTGCATCACACACACTCTGCATCACACACACTCTGCATCACACACACACTGCATTCATACACACACTACACTGCATTCATACACACTACACTGCACTCTTACACACACACACACTGCACTCTTACACACACACTGCACTCTTACACACACACTGCACTCATACACACACACTGCATTTACACACACACACTGCATTCATACACACACACACCCACACTGCATTCATACACACACACACCCACACTGCATTCATACACACACACACCCACACTGCATTCATACACAAACACACCCAAACTGCATTCATACAAACACACACTGCATTTATACACACACACCACATTCATGCATGCACACACTGCACTCATACACACACACACACTGCATTCATACACACACACACTGCATTCATACACACACACACTGCATTCATACACACACTGCATTATATACACATACTGCATTCATACACACACTGCACTCATACACACACACACTGCATTCATACAAACACACACTGCATTCATACAAACACACACCGCATTATATACACACACACTGCATTCATACACACACTGCACTCGTACACACACACACTGCACTCGTATACACACACACACACTGCATTCATACACACACTGCATTCAAACACACACACTGCATTCATACACACACACACACACACTGCACTTATACACACACACACTGCATTCATTATATACACACACTGTAAATAAATATTCAATTAATATAATTTTTGGGGGATCTAATTTTATTTAGAAATTTACCAATTTACCTAGTCTTATACTCGAGTCAATAAATTTTCCCAGTTTTTTGGGGTAAAATTAGGGGTCTCGACTTATATTTGGGTCGACTTATACTCGAGTATATACGGTACTCCCTAACATTTATAAAAGCATCTATATTATCTATCTATCTGTCTAGATATAAGCAGAGCAGGCTTTTCATCTAAATACCATGTGTGTGCAGCACAGTTATCTGAAAGTGCAGGTTGTTTATGACTTATTTTGTTCCCATTTACCTTGCATCGTAGCATATACGAGACAATATCTATGGATATTTGTTTCATTGTAGCATGAATCTGACAATAAGTACAAAAATAGCTGTAGAATCTAAACAATTTTTTCAGTAAAGGTTTCAGAGTTCAATTAGTTTATATCTACATTTAAGAGAGTATCTGGCTGCAATATAAGCATAATGTATTATGGAGATCAAATTATAATCGCATGATTCCGCTTATTTACCGCAAATCTGCAGCCATTACGAATACCAGGAAGTAACTGTGGGTTTATTCACTAACTCCAAGCATCGGAAACATTAAGACCATTGTAGTGGTTATGCCTAGCGTTCTCTGTACTGTTCCCTGGTAACATAGCAAACAATTTTGCTAAAATTTTCCCTCCTGTCCTGGCTGGTGTTGGGCATCCAAATTCTGCAGAGCTGCCAAAGGTGGACGCCGATCCTGCCAATCATTCATTGTCAGCTAAGAGAGTGTCCGCTAAGCATTCTCACCCAATAAATTAAACTTTGTGTATAGAAATGTGCACAAAATTGACATTGACATTGACATTAGATATATCTATCATATACAGACTCCAAGCACCATGGCCATTTCAATTCACTAAAGTGGTGATGGTGCTTACAGTAACCCTTTAATTTTGTGCATATTGCTATATCTTTTATCTTGCATGTACAGCCACTTCTAGGGTGGAACTTCTAGAGTATCCACAGTACAAAATCATCTTAATTTATAGAGAACTTGCCCAATAATGGACAGATTAACTTCTAAACTCTTTGATAACTTTGTAACACTTTCCAACCTTATGCAATGCAACAGATTTTGATCGCCGGTCTACTGAGAGCAGTTTTTTGCGAGGCATCATATCAATAGGGGCTTTTTGTGAAAAACAAAATCTAAATATTTGAGTGCTTTTTGGCCACTGCTGTTCTGTGATAAACAAACATTGAAAATATGTTTTGTTTTTGTTTTGAAATTATTTAATTATATTTAGTTTATTTTGATGAATATACAATTCAATGTTTAGCTAAAATATCTCTATCCTTTGACTCTGAACAGCTGAGAGGAATATTGTAATATGTCAATTTTCACAAAGCATTTTCAATAATCACTTTTTTTTTTTCTTGTATAGCACATATACTTCAGTACCACGAAGAATCAAAGTTAAAAAGGAGAAGGTAAATTGCTTAAATTCTACTGTTATATGAGCAGCTTTTGTTACACAACAGTCTTTTTTAAGGGAAAATAGACCATGAGGTGACGTTGACTTGTGTTGGCATCACGATCTGTCTGGAGAGCCAGGTAAAACTTATATTAGTCTTCCGGAGAAGTTTAGGTAGAATGACTAATATCTGATACTTAGCTCACTGTCCTTGTGGAATGAAAAATATAAATATCAAACTAAATTTAAACAAAATACCCATGGCAACTTCTGTTATACAGATCACATGTACCTTGAGTGAACTCTGTCTTAGCCATTCCTGGTCTGTTGCTTCTGTCTCTGCAAACAAATGAACCTCACAGTGAGGGATTCCAGAACTGTCTCTGTATATCCATGATTCCATGTGGATTATTTTATATGTAGCTGTGATATTAAGTGTTTTTTATTTAAGCAGGAAAGTAAAACTTAGAGTGCAACACGTGTGCTTATCAACATGCCACACGTGTGCTTCTCAACATGCCACACATGTACTTATCAACATGCCACACGTGTGCTTACCAGCATGCCACACGTGTGCTTATCAACATGCCACAATGTGAGTTGTGGAGGAAATTCAAAGTGAATTTTAAGTGATTTTCACGTTAAAGGTCAAAATGATTTCAGTTGAGCTACTTTGAACATCAATTTAAAATTAATCTCAGGGACTACTTACAATACATAAAGAATATAAATACACATGTCATTGACAATAAGTCTAAGCACCCCAATTCCAGTGATACATGTACAGGAGAGTTGTTAAATGGAACCTTTAAAAGGACTGTAGCAATGATGGTAGTATTTTGTGTATAATGTGTCTGTAGACTGATAGATTTCTGTATGTCTTGCTAACATGGTTCTGTAACCATTACCAGACACCAAGCAATCATTTCTGGAGGATGCTTTTCAGTTTGGTACAGGAAAACATTTGAGTGTTGTATTCACTTGAGATCTACTGCCCTTTGCAAACTCCGCATTGCAAGTTGAACTTTAAGATGTAGGACCGACTACGGTTCTATTAATAATGCATTGCTTAATTAGAGAAGGGGCCCTGCATAATTATGTTAAGGTACTTCAATTGGAAATGAATCTGTTGGAATTCATAAGTAACTCTTAGAAATGGCTGTATATTTCTGCTTAATGTCTAGGCTCGGAATAAAATGTCACATTTTAGCTATATAATGTGTCTTTGTTAGTCTGTGGTTTGTCTTGTATCTATGTTGGCTCTAAGACAGGAAATTTGAAGAATATTTTGGTTATGTAGAGTTTTCCAATTATTGCCAAATGTAATACTGTTTACCGTAATTAATTATTCATTCTTTTTATTGGAGTTAATTAACATGCACAAAGTGCTCCTCTGTGCAGTGTGGAACAATGAGCAGGAATTCATAATGCTGGAAAATGCTGCTTTCCCACATGGTAGAAGGCTTATTCGCTGAACAGCGCACTGTAATGTGTTGATTATCAACTTGACAATTTAGCCCAAACTAGCTGAGCTGGAAAAATGCACAAACTCTAGTTGGTCGTTAACGAATACACTATTCGCAGACTTGGAAAAGGGAACTCAGCCCTATAATTTGATCCAGAGTATGGTTTATATTTATCTCCTGGCTGATGTCGATCAGTTAATATATTTTATATCAGAATGATGAATTTTACCTTCTTGGTTATAAACAAAAAGTTCAAAAATTTTTACTAATTTTGTTTATATTTAATTTTTAACTTGCCAGTTTATTTATTTACTCACTAACATTTACCATTGTTTACCATTGTTATGTCCACCTTGAACATCATCTATCCATGAAAACAACTGAAAAATATAATATAAAGAAACAAGGAAACGGCACAGGTTATGGGTGCACAAGTCTAGCCATAATTGCAATCGAAAAACTTCCTTTTAGCCTCTTAGAAGTTAAACGTTATTTATAAACAATATGCTGATTATATAGTTGTATGCATGTGTGCATATATTTTAATAGTTTTGATATATATCTTTATTAATATTATATGTTTTTTTTTAATTTTTCAGATTCTTATCTACAGTCCGGAGTTTATGAAGTATATCTATGATAAGTGGCTTCTCAATCACGGCCGATATCCATCCACCGGCCTTTTCAGTGTGATTTTTGCGCTTCATGTTTGTGATAAGGTACTAACCTGTTTTACAAAATGATCCTATCACAAGTAGTTAGCGACAAGTCCATCTATATAGATCACAGAACCTATTAATAAAAGGTTTTCAGTTGCTCTCTTGTAGTACGCCTACCCTACTCATATGTATGAAATAGTAAAATTCATTTTAAAAAAAATAACATTTCTATTGCTTGTTTTTTTTAGGTGGATATATATGGTTTTGGGGCAGACAGCAAGGGGAATTGGCACCATTATTGGGAGAACAATCCTTCTGCCGGAGCATTTCGCAAAACGGGAGTCCACGATGGCGATTTTGAGGCAAACATTATAGGAAATCTCTCTGCAATTAACAAAGTAACAGTTTTCCACGGTAGATGACCCTACCGAGAAGATGGCATCTACTTTCCACAGTTCTCGGGCTTTATCTTTGATGCTAACAGCTGACTATAGTTGGAGCAGACATTTATTTAATTGTGACTGACTTTCTCAATTTAACGCTGCAAGACACCTTTTCTTACCCTTATTTTCTTAATATGTGGATACTGACTTTGGAACCTCTTATGGTAATTTTCATGAAGATATATGTCCAATTGACGTACGAGAAAATTGGATATTCCAAGATATTTTTTGATAAAACTTTTGATAGGCCAACGACCGAACAAGAGAATGTTCTTTCTACTTGAGCAAATCCATAGTGATGTAAGAATAATCTAAATATATTTTCGTTTGAGCATCACTGAAGTCACCTTACACTTTGCAACATGTCAGTTCACCATTATGTGGAATGATGTCTTGTCCTCTTTCTCAGTAATGGAAAAAAAAAATTGGAATATGGTGGATATTGAAGTAAATTCCAAATGCATTTAAAAATAAGTGTGTTTTTCCAAGCATTTTTGGTTAAGATATAAAGCACGAGATCTTCATTTTGGTTTTTGGACCACTACAGATTTCCACTTCTTTTTCAGAAATTCAGTGATACCAACACAACTACAGATAATCACCTGGGGTCTGGGAACGTTTTTCTATGGCTTAAGAAAACCAGTTTTAAATTGTGTTGGCTTGAACTCGTCTGAATTTTTTTAAAGGGAAAAAAATCCCCACAAATATCAGCTTTCATGTATCATGGTTTAAAGACTGATGATTTGATTTTTGAGATATCTATATTTTCATACAAAAGAAACCACTTCAATAATTTTGTTCCATTGTTTCAACTGCTTTCAGCTGATTTCTTTATTGATTCTACAAGAATATAGAGAGAATTCTGTTACAATACAGGATTGCTATTTTCAAATCATCGGGAGCAAATTAAGTTAATAAAAACAACAACTCTAGGATACTATACAAATATGGTATTGTTGCTTTAAGTAGAGTTTATCTTTTTTAATTTTTTCACAATGACTTGTTTATTTATAAAGCCGTTATTTACTTTTTTGCAAATACCACTGAAATAAATAGTGTACAAGGGTAAGCAGTTTAAATGCCTGCGGTGGGAAAAGTGTGGCTATTGATAATTTATTATAGGGCATGATATTGTTGCCCAAATATGATGCCAATTGTTTATTCATTACGCAGTTTAACATTTAATTCTATTTTTCTATCAACGAAGCTTTAATTAAAGAAAAAAAAATAATGCATCTTTTTTTAGATACATTGCTTTTACATGTTCAAAGAAAGGGCTCATCTGTGCATCTGTGCCTGTTTTATCAGATTGCATGCCCAGAAGGTAATTGAATAAAATGTAACGATTCACGATAAGGTGGTTGTACCATTGAATGTCAGCAGAGTGCGCTGTTCCACTGATACACAAGCCATTGGAATTGGCATTTTGTTTATCTGGAGGTGAACTTTGAAGAAGTGGTGGCTAATAAACACAGTATGGCATATTGTGTAACTAAACCCCATGTTTATCTGGGAAGACTGGTGTTATTAAGTAGCCTTGTAAGATATACAATTGCAGATTTGTGTGTGCTCTCTTCCTTTAGTCTGCATTTTGCATACATTTTGACCTTTACTGTAGCAGCACCATTAATAAGACATGCCATTCTCTCTTTTCTCGGCATTTTATAATGTCCTATGTTTACTTGAGTGGTCTTCACTATAATACTCTAGTTCCAAATAAAACATATGCAAGGTATGCGTTTTCAACATACCCTTAACGTCAAATTATTCTTAATTCTTACAGAATTATTTATGTAAGATTGAAATAATGGTATATTTTGAATTCCCAAATGTTTGTGGACTACATTTCCAGTGACCCTCAGCCACTCTTAATGGTGGTAGAGTACTGTGGGAATGGTAGGTTAGGAACATCTGGTGTGCCATTGTTAGCCATTAAATCAAAGTATTTAAGTAAAAGGTTGTAAGATATGAGCCACAATAAATATAAAATCTTTAAAAAAAAAATTAATAAATCCTGCCCTTAATTTTGCAATTGTCTTTTTGTATCTTACGACTTGGTAAGGAACCCAGATTGACTTTCCAAGTAATAAGTTCAAGCAAAGTTAATTGCTGAATTCATTTTGAAACCTGAGTTGACTTTCAAGGTCAAAGCGAATCGGTCATGACTTGCAGGGACTGATTCTCCTGCAAGATCTACACTGAAGAATTGACTGACAGTTGGGGAAGTGACCTATTTTAACCCGTTAAGGACACATGACGTGTGACATGTCATGATTCCCTTTTATTCCAGATGTTTGGCCCTTAAGGGGTTAAACAGGTTTATGAATTTGTTATAAATTACCCTGGCACAATGTGTAGATGGAATTTAACACAGAGTTATCATAAAATAAGGTATGACAGGTACACATCAAATCTCTATTCATAGGAAATACTCACTTGTATTTCAACAATACTATATAATGGAATCCTACATTTGGGTGTTTAGACACCAGATGGTATATTTAAAGTGTAACACATGCTAATTTATTAGTGTGTGGGAATTTCGACATATCAAAATTGAATTCATTCTCCAAGCTGGTTAGGTTTTTTTGTTTTTTGGGGTTTTTTTGTAATTTTTTTTTTTTGACATGCAAGTAAGTACAACAGTGCCTGTATTGCCACAGCAGCATTAACCGGCTCAATTTTCATGGTCATGACAAGACAGATTTATGGCTTTCTGGGTTGACATACAGTTACTTTATAACCAGTTAACAGTTCAGGATCTAAGTGCCTGCTCATCGACTATCTGGTGATGATGACTTGTTGGTTGTGCCGTTTTTCGTGATACATCTATATGGCGCATGATTGTGGGCAAGTGATGGCCAACACTTGACATTGCAGCTGTTAAAGAATCCCTCTAGTGTTCCATCCGTCGAGTTCCATGCCCCTGAATATTATATCACTGATATGGGACAGTGGCCAATTGAAACATGTTCCAGTCTAGTATGTATGTGGCATTCCTACATTTAGTCTCTTGTGTTACTGTCAACAATTTAATGGTGATTCCATTTTTGTTGTTTTTTGGTTTTTTTTAAAGTAGCGCAGAAATGTATCTTCAAAGTGTAAAACATTTTGGGTGAAGAAGATATGAATAATTTAAGTGAGGATGAAGGGTTAAAATACAACATCAAATATATAAAGGCCATAATGAAATCATTTCTAAAAAGCCCAGACATTTGTTATTCTTGTGAATATCATAATCAGGGCAAACATGATTTACTTATATCTGCCTAATATCATTGTTTAATTACTTTATAAAGAAATAATGGTTTAAGGGGAGATGTTTTTTGTTTTTAAGATTTAAGGAAAGGCGGTTTATAGTTGATTTATAATGTTTTAATTTTTTTGAAATGAATGGATTGAGAATTTATAAAGAGAGATATACTAAGGTGTGATGAGAGCTCACCATTAAACTAACAAGGCACCTTGGATGGTTGTATGTGCAGGGTCCACTAGTGGGATGGCTCTCTCACACCGCCATGTAATTTCAGTACTTGTTAGCTGTTAGAAATACACAACAACTTCACTCCTAGTCTACAAGTTAGACCTCGCGGGATCCCATATTATCACCTTCCAGTGTTGGGTGATTTGATCAAGCCTTGCAAGCACGTACACATAGGCTAAGTGTTTATTAGGATTAAAACAGAAATGAGAGGTCACCAACATATGTCTTATCTTGTTTGTTATCCGATTGCATTCTTTTTCCAACAAAATGAGAATATAACAAAAATGTGGTTTTCGAGCATAAAACGAATATCGATTGATACATTAAAACTTATTATGTGATTATTTTAATTATAGCTTATTTTCCATGATTTATAGTAACCTTCCGACCTGCATATCTCTCTTTAGAGCGATTTTGTGACTGTTACTTTCTGGATTAATTCATACCCCATAGAGATAAACAGATTAAATCAAAATTCGTTAAATTAGCGTAACTTTCTTTTTTCGGTTTAAAGCAACTTGATAAACTAATTTTGGACGAACCGAAAGTCTTAAAATACCAATCGAAATGAACATTCTTTCTGTGCAACGTCTGTCATTTTTATAATTTCTCTAACTTATCATTGCTTTGCTTGTTTTCTCTTTGTTTGGGGCGCTAAACACATGCAGTGATTTTGCTGCCCCAGAGATACCAAGCCAAAATCGATATGAAAATACTTAGTTTCACCAGTCCGAATGATCTGTGTCTTGTAACATCTTATTACATGGCATGCTGCAACTGCCCTTATTCATTCTGTTATCTGTTGTCAATATTGTCAGATAAACCAATCTATCTATGCACAATTTAGTTATGCCACAACTGAATTATTTATCTGGTTTATTTTATTCGTGATTTTCATCTACCTCTTTATGTATCAAAATCTTTTAGATTTTTTTTTTTCTTCCTAAACTACTTTAGTAAGAGAGCCAATACCTGTGCCAAATGTTTGTATGAGTACTGAGTAGATATGGGCATTGCTGAAGTGACTTACATTGAAATGTGTGCCATGGGTCCAGAGTGAACTTCTTAAAGCATCTGTCAACTGAACATGACTTTGTATGAATTAAACCATTCTGTCACACACTATTATTATCTTCCTTTATTATAATAAGCTACAGAAACAAACACAAAGTAGAATGCTGATTTCAATATTCTTGCCGTTTTTTGAATGCATTCTGTATATGTAACTTATATAATTCTTTGTATTGTAGTCTTTTTTTTTTTTTTTTTAATTAGTATTTTATTGAGATTTTGTTACTACAGAAAATAAATGACAACCAGGCATGCAACACGCACATTGGGGAGCAAAAAGCATAATGACCAATCATTGGATGCATACCAAGTTTATTAGCCCCCCTCCACGTAGAGTAACTGCAACAGTCATGCTTTTCCCTCCAAAAAAAATACACTGCATAAACTCTTATGAAAGAGGAAACAACCCCAAGGCAGCATGTCCCCCTCCCCCTGATATATGCGATTCTAAAAATGCTCAACCTGTTGCTGTTAAGGCAACACGGCCAATTTTGTAATCATGCGTGTAAATCTAGGAGCTTGCTGGGTTCAAACAGAAGGATTCAGATTTGTTGGCCAGTTAAGAAAAACCTCATATCCAGCTAGAGGAAGGACTCTTGGCTAGATCCACTCCTTGCCTGATAATACCATCTTGTAGGGTGTCCTATAGACATTTAAGTTTGGACATCTTCAAAACTTTCCCTCTTTTCCACTTCCTTTGACACGTTACATTTTCACAGCATACATGGGCAGTATTCATAAAAATAGGAACACATAACACAACATTAATTTAGGGCAGTCGTGCCTAATCTAAGAATCCAAATGTTTTTGAAAAATTTATTTTAAATCTTAAAAACATCTATGTTGTCAAGGTTTTCCGTGACGGGCTTAGTGATTTTATCGTAGCATGAAATTATAGTGCAGGTCATAGAGGATAGTTTAGGCCACTATTCAGAATGACCAAAATACGTTGGCACATACTTTATAAGCGATTATTGCCATCTGTTACGGACACTAAAGGCTTCGTAAATTAGTAAAAGCATATTGCAATTGTTATGGTTTAAAAAATGGTGTGGGAGCAAAACCAGGCCTAGCGCAGTACCAAATGTCCAGTAACTACAGTGAGAACTTCTGAATTAACTGTCCATCACTTGATGACAATGATTGGCTGAGAGCTGGGGGGGTCAGCTGGCTATGCACCCTTCAGCTCATAACTGTAATCATGAGCTTTAAGTTTTTGGGGAGCTTAAAGTGCCTCCTTAAAGGACCACTATAGACACCCAGACCACTTCAGCTCAATGAAGTGGTCTGGGTGCCAGGTCCATCTAGGATTAACGCTGCCTGCTGTAAACTTAGCAGTTTCAGAGAAACTGATATGTTTACAAATGGGTTCATCCAGCCTCTAGTGGCTGTCTCATTGACAGCCGCTAGAGGCGCTTCCGCACTTCTCTCTGTGATTTTCACAGTGAGAAGGCGCCAGCATCCATAGGAAAGCATTGAGAATGCTTTACTATAGACTGACTGAATGCGTGGGCGCATGTGCATTCAGCCGATGACGACCGAAGGAGGAGGAGAGTCCCCAGCGCCGAGGGAGCCCGGCCCTGGAGAAAGGTGAGTGTTTAACCCCCTTCTTCCCCCTTCAGCCTGGTGGTAGTGGGACCCTGAGGGTGGGGGCACCCTCAGGGCACTATAGTGGTCCTTTAAAGTCAGTGAGTGGCCACTACAGAAAGCACATAACAGGAGTGTAGCCTTACGAATCAATTTTTAGGTTGCCATTTAAATTACTCTTAGCTCATAGGTGCCCCTTAGTGAATTTATAAAGTACTGCAGGTTAAAAAAAAACATTTGGAGCATCTGAATTGACATTAGTCTTTTTTTGTCCTCATACCAGCCTGCTCTTTAACAAAAATGACAGAAATCTCTTCAGATCCTGCATTTTATAGAGACTATTTTTTTAAAAAGATTTAAGAGGTGATGCCAGAAGCCCACTTCACCTGAAATGTTGAGTTTATTATAAAATGTCCTTTGAGAAATGCACTCATTATAAAGATTTCGCATGATGAATGTGTTAATGTTTGTTAACTCTGGACCCAGAGATTGATATAGAGCTATCTGTTAAGTTCTTTAAAACTCATATCTGTTTACATCTGCCTTTGTATTTGTGAAACAAATATACATTTTGTACAAAAATAATAATAAAAAAAATAAGATGATTGCTGAGAATGGTTTGTTTGTATAGAAAACCAAAGTTTTTTTTTATTGTTTTATATTCAAACTTGTTATACCCACTTCTTTTACTTGAATGAACAATAAATTGACATTGTAATTTGTCTCGTTTTATTGTGGTTTATAAAATTGTAAAATATAGATACAAAAATGTAATTACACCAGTTTAATGACCATTAAATGTTGTGGATGACAATCACAGGGAGGTAAGTAAAAGATGCTAAATATTAAAACTCAAGTTCTGCAGGTCTCAATATTGCAATTGGCTAAGAAGGGATATTGTCCTTTCTGGGAAGATTATATAAAATTAAGTACTACACACTTTCTGAATTTAAGAACTTTGTGAAAAAAATACGAAGAGGAAATAGTTGGTATTCTTTTCAATGGTTTACATAGTGGTATAAAATTCCACAGGTAAGCTGACACACGTACGTACATACTCCTACCACCAAGACCAGTTCAAATCACTGAAGTGGTCATCCATGGTTGGAGTAACCCTTTAAATAAAAAAGGCTAGCATATCGTAGTTTAAGGTGCAGTGTGTTAAAGTTGCAGTTAGCCCAGATAATCCTAATACTGTCAGATTATAAAGCATTTGAATTTAATTTTCTAATTATGTACTCAGCCCTTCATCCTTCTGAGGTCGATAAAATGAGTACCATCAATTGGGTAATAATAACATCTATTACTATTCAGCTGCTGATTTGGTTAATTCTGAGAGCATGCGCTGAAAAAGGCTTTGAGTCCCACTGGGAGAAAGGCGCTATATAAATACTAGTTATTATAATATTATTATTACAGGCTATGATGTAACTGTCAGTTGCAGTAATATTTTTTTTTAAATTAGATTTGATTTATAGTCTGGTTTCTTTACAAATCCTCTTTGTTTTTTAATTAAATCCTCTAGCTATAGTGCATTCAACTGTTTGCTGGGTTTAAGCATTTTCACTGTGCAATCAGACAAACTCACATGATTATATACTAACAGCAGCACCTGATCTAAGAGCTATTAGTATTGTATAAACTGCAATAGCGGTTTAACCCCTTAAGGATACGACGGAAATGTTCCGTCATGATTCCCTTTTATTTCTGAAGTTGTGTCGTTAAGGGGTTAATACAGATTTTATTGTTTTGTTTACTAAATTTAGTTTACAGTTTATTTTCCTCAAAAGATCACTGGACACCAGTAGGGCTGGTTAAAGACCTAGTAGCTATTTTAAAACACACTCTTTGGAATTTGGAGAGAAGGCTCTCTTACTTATCTGAAGATTAAGGTGACAGAAAATACCCGGGACCTATTCAAAGCTAACTACTTCAAATTCGGGAGGACACATAGCCGTGATCAAAATGCTGCCATTGTCCAATCTGCAATGCTTTTTAGATCATTGCCAATCCAACTACCTATTGCAAACCCACATAAACATATACCATGTTAACCAAGGCCATAAAGCAAGAATACCCTTGCATATTCGTAGAAGAAGAGTGTTAGAAGGTGGATTAGGGATGCCTGTACTCTCTGCTTACAACCACACAGCTAACCTAAGTCAGGGGATCACACTACAAAAAAATAAGGACAACACACAATGGGTAGAAATGGAAATATTTTGGTCCATGAGGGAAGGGGGTGCACACACTCTTCTGGCTCCCAAAATCTGACCAATCCATAATGCCAAATTTACTACCAACCACTGGCCTCGCATAAAAAACTTGGGACAAATATCAAACAGAATTTTGCACGGATCTACCCTTGTCATAGGCAACTCCTATCCTGTTTTTTAATTACCGGATTCCTACTTTCCAAAGTAGAAAATGGGGGGCTTGTGCTGTGACTTCCTTTTCAAATATGGAAAGGAGGTAAAGTGATACCCTTAGATCAACTGGCAAAGCAATTCCACGTACCAAAGGAAATGTACTTCTACCTACAATTGCAAACTTACCTAACATCCCATAAACTCATAGAAAAAAACAAACCTAAACCTCTTACCCTACCTTATCAGATATTGGTTTTATACTTCTCATTGGTACGTTCTTGCTGGTATTGATGGTTAGGACATCATACTGTTACGTTTATGATGCCTACCTGTCATTCCAAGTGTAACCAGTTGAAATTGCACAATGTCCAAGTCTGTTGTTACTTGTATAACAATGTATCACCAATAAAGAAATACATTTGGGGAAAAAAAGGTCAATGATTGGGTGCACTGTGTAAACGGGTGAACTAGTGTGGGTTTTAGAGTTGGGTATTTGTTTGATTTGAAAGTAAATAAATATCTCTAAGTTCTACTTGGCTTTATCCACTACCTGCTGTTAAAGAAAGGAAGGTGCCCCCTCTATAGGCACACAAGCCAATATACCAGGTTTCAGTGACTCTGAATAAGGTGAGCAAAATATTTGCATTTAAAGTCTTTTTATATGTATAGACCATACTACACAAGAAAGTTTTCTCTCGTTTTTATCTTATTTCTTGATATCATCTTTGGACAAGAAAGAGTGCAGTGTCACCTACGACATTACTGCTGATGGGATTTCAGCCTGTCCCCTAGGGGCTCTTATCAATGTGTGTTGACACACGTGTGCTATACATTCAATCCCTTTTTTTTAATAGATTTACACTATATTGTTTTTTTTTTGTTGTTTTCCTTTTATATGTGTCTACTCATCATTTGAGTTAAATATTTTAGGGTAAGTGTGTACCCTTTATTTCAAGACAAGATTAGCCCGGACGAGGGGTCAGATGAGAAATGCTACATAGTGTAATGCTTCTAAGAAAATACTACCATATGTTACTTTGTGAATTGTAGGATTCCAGGCTTTCTGGCAGAAGCTAAGCTCAAAGCTTTTCCTACCTGTCCCACAAGCTAAGCAGAAGATAAAGAGTCCACCCAGTTTTGCTCGGGGCCGAGCAGAGAATCCCACAACTAGACTCCAGTCCAGCAGGCAGAGGAGACCGCAACATCGTCTCTTGAGAAAGGTGCAGACAGGATGGACACCAGGGCGGATAAAGCTGGCGGAGACATGGGGGACCCTACAGCGACATGAAGAGAGGAGGGGAAGTCGCTTGCCATCCCTGAGCCTACTGACAACACCTATGATGCTGAATCTGAAGACTTGTGCCGATCTGGGGATCCGTGTTATGCCGATGCAGGGCATAGGGTGACCAGACTGCTGAATACTGACCTCATGACATATATAGCTTACTGTTATATTTCCTTCTGTCCACTATTGCCACACTCTGTTATTGTACCTGCCAGCAGTCACTGTTCATACAGATATTCTACTGACCCCTACTACATACAAGTTATCCACGGTGGAACACCTCCACTTTTCTTGTTCCTTTGCAATTCTATATATCTCATTAGAATTTAGTTGGTATAGCTTGACTTACCACTGTTTATCTTTCCATTATAAAAAATTGTGCAGTATACTAGACATGTCAACATATGTGTTACTTCTCATGTCACTAAGCAATGTCATGATCACAAATGCTTTGTATATTCCTTGCAGAACAAAAATAAAGAATACATTTAAAAAAAAGGTTAAACCATCACGGCAGGGGGACTCATCCCCCACTAGATTCTAAGTTACACCAGAGCCAAGAGGGCTCATTGAAAATAGTTACTATTAATCGGTGGGATTATTGATTGGTTAATAATAACTATTTCCACTGAGCCCTCTTGGCAATAATGTAAATTTCAATCTTATTTTTATTTATTTAAGGTTCTCTTATTTTTATACAGATTTATTTGTCTACATTTATTTTTTTAAATTCATCATTTCTTTATTACTTTAAAGTTTTCCTCTAATTTGCTGTTTTCTGTACCATAAGAAACTCAGCCCATACTGTGCCTAATTAGAATTCTGCTGATAGTGCAAGGTACATTGAAATAAATCAGCTTTATATACAGCGATAATGTTATTTCAATTCAAGTGACAAGAGCAGGTTTTCATTATGTGAACAGCTGTTTAGAAATTAAAAAAAGAGCGTTAATTTAAACATGTTCAGAAGTGACACGTTGTGATGGATGTTGATTAGCTGACAGAAAATCAAAATTTATAATGGAAAATAAAATTATCTTCCACATTTATTCCAGAGGCTATTACACTCTTAGAATTACAAATTGTGTGACAATATACAATTTAGTAGACAGAACGGCTCATAGAATTATCATTGAATCAATACGTGCTCATGATATACAGCACATAAGGGCCAATATACTTTGATTCTTATTGTCCATTGTCTGACAAATTCCTTTAATGACCACAATGAAAGGACACTCCAGGATGCAGGTCCAATTTTTTAAATATTACAAATTAAAAAAATAAAAAAAGTTGGTCACCTTTGAAGTTTCTATATTTGATGCAAATACCCACAATATGCAGCTTCCTGCTATGAACTGTGTCCAGACTAAGAGAAATTGTCAGCCAGTCCTAGCCATGCATTATTTTTAATTTTTATGTAATTATTTTTTATGTAATTTTTAATCAAGATGGTCTCATAATATGTAATTCAGTGCTTGGCAAAAGTTCAATTAATTACAGAAAATATTAATTAAACTTCTTTCAGATGAATAGCTTATTTAATATTTGTATTAAATTATAGAAAGTTTAATAAAGGCATGCAGCGCACCGTCTATGAGAAAGAAATATAGTTTACTGAATGAAGACAAAAGTTTAAAGTTGCTGGTGTAGGGATGTATTTTTGGACAGGCCAACTAACCTGGGCCTATGATAGCAGATAAACGGGGCTGGAAAGGTAACAAGAGGATCTAATCAGGCACTAATGAAAGCATTTAGAAAATTGTGAAGAACAGATGGGCCGAATGGTTCTTATCTGCCGTCACATTCTATGTTTCTATGTTTAAATCTCTCTAACCAGCCTTACAATTTAAAGGGAGCAACTTGACTGATATGTGCTCCTACTGTTGTTCATCAATGAAGATCCAACATGGAATGCTGTGAGGATAAAAGAAAGAACTGAGATATATCCTCATCTTCCGTGGTAAGATCTGCGTGGGCAGATATTGGGCAAGTACCCGCCCTGCTTGAACATACTACAAGTATGGCTACAGCTATATCGAGATCACTGTTAAGAAACCTATTTATATATTATGGTGATTAGATCAACCCAAATCCAAAAGTTGTGTTGACTGGGTTATTAACGAACATCAACTGTTGAAAATTCAAAGCAATTTAAAAATGTGAAAATCCCACCAGTAAAGTTATTTTTGCCTAAGATTTGAATCTCGCATTGGATTCCCAACACTTCATGTGTTAGTAATTCATTGTTTAAATTTTAAGATAAAATTTGTGAAAATCAAATGCATTTTTAAATAAAGCGTGCTACCTGCAGAACAACATATTACTCATTGAAATCCGACAATAGCAATAGTTCTCGTAGTATTCCAATGGAACCAAAGATGTTCTATAACTAAGAATAACCCAGATCTTTTGAAATAGAGCCATTTGTTTGAACCTGGACCGTTGTTGCCCACTGAGTGGTTGCTTGAGTACCCTTGCTACTCAAAATGAACTAATCCAAACAATAAGATGATATAATTCTTACTAAACGTCATGGGATAGGAGGTTCTATCCGGAATTGTAGCTTCAAGAGAAGTGTTTGGTGAGTAGCTATTAAAATATATTTAAAACACAAGAACCCTTAAATCTGTATCTAGCTATAGACACTATCACGGTTATTTATTAAAGTGAGAATTTTGCAGAAATTTAAAGTGAATTTCAAAATTGAGGTTCAAGTATCTGAACTTTAAATTTCTTACAATTCTTACATTAGTAAATAACCCTATCTGGATAGAAAAGTACAAAGACTGTACTGCTCCTATGATTAATATAATGTTTATTCTAGCTGACAAGTTCAGTTTTAATTGGTCACTTTTTTCGATCAGCTTATACTTAGAGTGCAATGTCCCAGCGTCCAATACTTAGTAAATCCAGATTGTTCCATGAATTCCAAACTAGCTTAGAATAATTTAATGTTTGGCTTGTAATACCTAAACACAATAACATTCTATGTTCTAAGTCTGTGTTTTACTTGGGGCTGATTCACCATGCCACAAATATCTCCCATCCCGACTAATACAATCCACTCATTGCACCTCCCCCTGTCTGTCATTAAACTGGCTTTAACATGCTGTATTCTGCTCCTTACTGATAGATTTCTTCATAACACTGCTTCTGTATACATATTCTCACCATTAAATACATATATTCCATCCAGGCTACTCTGTGAAATACCTACAACTTTCTTCTGCTCATACTCGCACGCCGACAGTCTTCTTCAAGACTTCTCTACGGCTGTTCCATTCCTCACTCCATTAAACTCTTCCCCACAGCCCATGCCATCAGAAAGTCACTGATTTAAGTTATATACATATTCATACATATTCATACATATTCTCACCATTAAATACATATATTCCATGCAGGCTACTCTGTGAAATACCTACAACTTTCTTCTGCTCATACTCGCACGCCGACAGTCTTCTTCAAGACTTCTCTACGGCTGTTCCATTCCTCACTCCATTAAACTCTTCCCCACAGCCCATGCCATCAGAAAGTCACTGATTTAAGTTATATACATATTCATACATATTCATACATATTCTCACCATTAAATACATATATTCCATTCAGGCTACTCTGTGAAATACCTACAACTTTATTCTGCTCATACTCGCACGCCGACAGTCTTCTTCAAGACTTCTCTACGGCTGTTCCATTCCTCGCTCCATTAAACTCTTCCCCACAGTCCATGCCATCAGAAAGTCACTGATTTAAGTTATGGTGGATGCTGTGGTCTTGTTAGATCCTTTGTAATCATAATTGTGTTTTGTTTTGGATTCCTAGCACATGAAATTCGAGAAGCAGTGCCTATGATGGACAGTTCCCTTCAGCTTCACTCTTTGGCCAGTGCACACCAAGAAGGGATGTGGCCTTTGTGGATGCTAGAGGCAATTGTGGAACTATCTCTGTTACAGCCAGTGCGGCTGCACCAAGGCATGCAGAATTTGGAGGGCCCTTCAGGTAACACTCCCGATAAGCAGACTGGTCTGATCAGGGGCTTGGTCGGGTGCTGTGGCCATTTAGCAGTGTGACCAGGCCCCTTTAATTTTGGCAGCCAGTGTTGGCTTAAAATAGTGTAATTTAAATAGCAGATGTATATAATTTTACTTATTTTAATAAAAATTATTTACAAGTGTGCCTTTGGTGCCAACGATCTAAACCCCATCATCAAGTAAGGTGATAGCTGTGTGCGAATGGAAAGAAGGTAACTTCATGCTAATTATTGTGGATAAAGAGAGACATATATGTGGGAAGGAATATCAATATTTACTAATGTATTTAGAAAATCGGGCAGACTAGATGGGCCGAATGGTTCTTATCTGCCGTCACATTCCATGTTTCTATGTAAATTCAAAAGTGAATTCCAAATTTTAGGACCTGAATAGTTGAAGTGACAGCATAGCTGACTTAGATAATTTTTTTATTTCAGCTTCTCTGACCTTAAATTTGAATTTCACTTTGAATTCTCACTTTAGTGCATAATCCAGTGAGTGTTTCTGTCTGAATGCGTGTATGATGTAAAGCTTGTGTCTGTGTGTGTGTTTGTTCCTCTGATGTTTGTCTTTATGTCATGATCATCTCTGGGAATGATACGTTCAGTAAGTATCTTGGTACGTATGTATGATTGTTTCCGTGGAAGGAATTAATACTTCTTAAAATGGAAAGTAGGTTAGTGAGGGTGTTACCATTTCAACCAATTACAGGAAAACATTGTATTTCTCATCTCCTCTTCCTAATGTCTATTTCTGTAGCCAAATTAAAGTTTTATCTTCCTCTATATACATTCTTCGTTTCATTCAGATTATGACCCCGGGAATTCATGATTTGTGGAGAGTCTTTCGAATAATTTCAAGAAACCATTTAACACAAAATTCTAATAATTGGATATGATATTGAAACAGTTTAAAAAGTGCAAAGATTTTGACCAATTGCTTGTTTGGAAATGGGCTAGCCCCCTGCTAGAAATTTTAAATATTGCCCACTAGATGGCGATATTTAACTGCTTTCTTGAAACAGTAGCAGAAGCCAGATTTTGTGTGCGCGTGTGTGTATACATATATATATAGTATATGTTTAATTTAAGGTTTTCTTATTTAAATCACAGTTTTATAAAAAGAAGTAAAAAATAATATGCTACATGTAGTTGAAGGATGATATTGTTGTAATTATTTTTTATTTACACTAATTTTATTATAGGGCACCTGCAGATTGTTCAGCACCATATAACAGAACAGGGTTATAGACAATATGAACTTTAACAATAAATATATAAAGAGGTTCATTCCTTAGATAATCAATTGTGGTGATTTGAAAATCCCATTGAAAAATTCAGGTTAAAATAGGCAAGCGATTACTACAGTTGATTAGGAAGATTTTTCCAAAAGATAACTTTTTGCCTAAATTTTGCAATACAATTTTACACTCACTACTAAATGTTTTGTGAATTAAACCAACAGCTATATACATAAATGCACAAGAGTACAGAAGCTGTTAGTAAGTGTGTAGGATTTATAAAATCAGTCTTATTAGAAATTTACTGAAGGAAACAAGGTGATTTGTTATCATGGGACTCACCTAAGAGGTTGTGCTTTGACTTGCCAGGTGAGCTTACACTTTAATTTTCTATGGAGTGATACTAAGAAACCTCCAGTTATTTAAATGTGCAGAGGGATTTGGGATAGTGCAAAAATTTAACTAACAATGCAAATGTTCCAACTGCACGTGAAAATGAAGGCATTTCATTTACACTATCCCAATAAACACCCACCATTTTACAAGATGTAACTTATGCAGTTTTTAGTTCCCCAAAAGACTTATCGACAAAACAAATTATTTAAAAAAAAAAAAAGTCAAATCCTGTATCATATTATATAAAGCAGTTTATTACGTATTCTACGGTTATTGTCTTTGTGTTTTCTGAAACATGCAATTGAGATCCCTAACAATGAGATGGTTATTTCATATATCTCTGTGACTCCCCTGGCCTGCTCCCGACTTCCATGGTTCTTTTTGGGTTTTTTTGGGAAGTGCATACCCATCTGAGTAATGCTCTATCTTGTCCTCCTCTTATTTTCCCATTTCTCCCTCAGTATCCAATCTTCTCCTTACACCTACTTCCCTCAACCTCCCAACAACCTTCACATTAACCCCTCTATGCTGCACTCACCCTTCTTTTATCTCATGCCCTGCACTCTTTTCTCTATTCTCTCCATCCTCTTCCTACTTGATATCATCCCAGACTCCATCTATATAAAACTCGCTCACACCTTCTGTCTCTATCTCTCCTCCTGCTTCTAGCAGCTAGTGATGTCTCTCCCAACCAAGGGCCCGTCATCTCCTCTACTCACACTAAGTCTATAAAAAAACACACCCTAACCTCATGCCAATACAATGCCATCCATCCCCATCTACCAATATTCAGTGTGCACTTTGGAATGCCCGCTCCATCTGCAGCAATATAAAATCAACAGCCATACACAACCTCTTCGTCTCAAATTCTTTCACACTTCTTGCACTCACTGAGACCTGGCTGTCCCCCTCTGATACTGCTACTCCTGCTTCCTTATGGTGGACTACAATTCTCCCACACTCCCAGACCAAACAACTGTAAATGAGGTGGTGTAGGCATCCTTCTCTACCCTCAATGTACCTTTCAACCTATCCTCCCTGCCCCTGCCCTATCCTTTTACTTGTCCCCCTCCGGTCATCCTTGGCTATTCATTGAACACTTTTCTTCCTGGCTACCCTGTTTCCTCTCCTCTTGCACTCCTTCCCTCATTCTTTGGAACTTTAATATCCCAATTAGCAACCCTAACTGCCCTTATGCCTCTCATCTGCTCTCTATAACCTCCTCCGTTGGACTCACACACTGGTCTAATTCATCAACTCATAGAGCAGGAAACACTCTTGATCTTCACAACTCTCTGTACCACCTATAATCTATCCAATGTTCAATTTCCTCTATCTGACCACCATCTGCTGTCCATTGACATCAGCATACCCCGTACCCAAAGTACTCCACCTTTACCACGTCAGTCTTGCAGAAACCTCCACTGTCTTGACCTACAGCAATTCCCCACCAACCTCCAAAGTCTCCTTTCACCCATCTCAAATCTCACCTGCCCTAACACTGCAACCTCAGTCTGCAACTCCACTCTCTCCTCTCAACTAGACAGCTTAGCACCTCCTACACTTAAACGCACTAAGCGCCCCCCAATTACAACCCTGGCACACCAAGCTGACCTGATACCTCCAAAAATGTCCCAGAACTGCTGAACACTGCTGGAGAAAGTCTCACTCTACATCTGACTTCCTCCACTATAAATTTATGCTGAGCTCCTACAGTCTGGCTCTTTCTTCTTCAAAAGAAAACTACTTCAAATCATTTATAACCACACTCTCCCGCAAGCCTAAATGACTGTTTCATGCTTTTAACTCTTTGTTCTGCTTTGTTCTTCTCCCTGTTGTGCCTCCTCCTCCTACCAACTTGACCGCCACAAACTTTGCAACTCACTTCACTGTGAAGTGAAAAGATCTTAACTGCGACACTCCCTCAACAATGCTATGCTCATTTGCACCCACTATAGCAGAAGAGGTTTCTGCTCTGCTCCATTCCTCCCGCTGCACCACGTGTTTCTTCGATCCTATTCCCTCGTAACTTATCTGCACTTTGGCTCCTTCCTTTGCTTTGCTTCTAACTAAAATTTGAAAACTCTCCCTCTCCTCTGGCACATTTCCTCTACCCTTCAAACATGCAACCGCCCGTAACACCAATTCTGAAAAAACCCAACCTTGACCCTAATTCCCCATCCAACTACCACCCTATCTCGCTACTGCCGTTTGTCTCCAAATTTCCATTTGGCAATTTCAATGTGTAAAATCTGAAATGCACAAGTTCTTGAAACTATAACTTTCCAAAACACCTGGACATAGGGAGTACTGTTCTATTTGTAAGACTTTGCTGAACACAAATATGTTTTAGAGCATTAAAATATATAATGCTGATGATATTATCAGTGAAAAGGCATTTTTTGTGTGAAAAATGCTACAAACAAATATGAACGCTAACTTTGGGTAGGGTTTGTGACTAAGAGGTTACTAAAAAGAATTGGACCAATTTTGAATACCCTGGGTTGTCTATTTTTGCAAATGGTATGCCATGATGGGGTTAATTTTCATTCCTGGGCTGCTATATGATCTCAAAGGCAACATAACCAATTTGACTAATTTCAATGTGTATAAATTGATAAGGGAAACCTGCTATATTTGACCCTGTAACTTCCCATATAACCTGTAAAAGGGGGATATTATTGCTCTCGTGAGACATCGCTGATCACAAATATGTGAAACATCACAAACAGCATTATGACATGCACAGTTAAAATTCCACGCAGAACTAAGAAAATAGAATTTCTTAATTTCTTACAACTTTTTGTTTTTTATTTATATAAAATTATGATTTTATATATATATATATTTAATCATAAAATCATAATTTTATATAAATGCCACACCAGTGAGGTGGATGGATTATCTCGGCAAAAGAGAAGTGCTCACTAACACAGATTTAGACAGATTTGGAACAATATTTGAAAGAAATAGGCCTTTTGTAAACATAGAAAAAGTCTTAGATCTTTAACCCCTTAAGGACACATGACACGTGTGACATGTCATGATTCCTTTTTATTCTAGATGTTTGGTCCGTAAGGGGTTAAGTTCAGCTCATGAAAAATGGGGGCAAAAACAAAAGTGTTGTGCTTATAATTTTGTTCAGTGTATATATACTATGATATGAAAGCCCTGTTTCTCCTTAACAAAATGATATATAATAAGTGTGGGTGCACTTAACATGAAAGAGGTAAATTATGGTTGAACAGACATATAGTCAAATTCCAGGTTTTGTTCTGATTAGAACTTGTACAATTGCCCCTGTCCTTAAGGGGTTAATGTTAACGTTACAAACCTTTATAGCTAATATAACGTAATGGGAAGCTGATGCCATGGTTTTTACTCCAGTTTTATAACTTCCTCCACTTTTCTATTAATACAGCTTTTATAAACCTCACGTCATTTCCCTTCATTATTATTGTATTCTGCTGCTAAGAAAAATTTATTCTGAAACAATGTAAAAGAATATTGTATGAAAAACAAGTGAAGTATCATATCGTTTTAGTTTTACTCATAAATGTGAATTTTTCTTCTCAGGAAGTTAAAAGAAATATCAGAAACATTTTTTTATAATATTTTAATATTCGTTTATGATGTTTCTACAAAAAAAAATGCCCAAACTGTAACTAAATTGTAAGTTATATAAACCTCATAAAAGTGTATAAAACTGGGGGACGTTTAGAGTGCGGAATGGTGGTAAATAATATCCTCTGTAAGGGAATTCTCTACTTTAGAACCAATTTTGAATATGAGCTTCTTCGAAACACTTATTAGAACCAAAATATGGACAGCTTGAATCTCCCATCTTCTCTGGAAACCCTCATTAGAACCAGGAATCAGACATTTTTCATCTCCCATCTTCTCTTGAATACTAATTAGAGCCAGGACACAGCCATCTTCCATCTCCAAACTTTCCTTGAACACTCATTAGAACCACTATAACAGAACCACTATAAAAAGCCACCTATAGACACACTCCTTAGAACTAGTAGATGATCATCTTCTATCCCCAGCATCTCTGGCACACTCATTAGAACAAGGATATGGCCATTTTCCTTCTCCCAGTTTCTTTCATTCATTACAACCAGGAAACAGCCATCATCCATCTCCCAGCATCATTAGAACACTCATTAGAACCAGGAGACACTCATCTTCCATCTCCCAGCGTCTCTGGAACACTCACTAGAACCTGGAAGCAGCCATCTTCCATCCCCTAGCTTCTCAGAGACACTCATTAGAATCAGGAGCCATCCATCTACTAGCTCCTCAGATCAGATCAGCCATCTTCCATCTCTCAACATCTCTGGAACACTCTTTAGAACCAGAAGAACAGCCATCTACCAGATTCTCAGAGACACTCATTAGAGCCAGTAGAGAGTTATTGTATATTAACCAGCATCTCTGGAACACTACTTAGAAAAAGGAGGCAATCATCTTCCCTCTCCTAGCTTCTCAAAGCCATTCATTAAAACCAGGAAACAGGCAACATCCATCTCCCAGCATCTTTGGAACACTCATTAGAATCAGGAGACACTCATCCTCCATCTCCCAGCATCTCTGGAACACTCATTAGAACCTGGAAGCAACCATCTTCCATCTCCCAGCTTCTCAGAGGCACTCATTAGAATAAAGAGTCAGCCATCTGCTAGCTTCTCAGAATCACTCATTAGAAACAGCAGATGGCCATCATCCATCTTGCAGCTACTTCGAAGCACTCATTAGAACCAGGAAGCAAATTATTTAATCTCCCATATTCTCTGGAACACTCATTAGCGCCAGAAGACAGCCATCTTCCATCTCCTAGCTTATCTGGAACATTCATGAGAACCAGGAGATGGCCATCTTACATCTCTCAGCTTCTCCGTGACACTCATTAGAACCAGTTTTCATGATAATACTTATGTATAAATATATATATTTATATGTGTGTGTGTCATCTGAAAGATATTAACAATATTTTTGATAAAACAATATTTCTAAACAGAAGTACTTGTCATATGATCACCCTAGCTATTTAGTTAAGTCTGAAAGAGAACTATTACTTGAATTTTGCTTATCTGAATGAAATAAACATTTGGCACCATGCATTAAAATTAGGTAGATACAGCAAAATATTAGTGATCACAATTATTTTGGAATGCCTCCCTTCATCTGGAAAGAGTAGTTCATCCGTATTGTCCTTCAGAATACAGTAAACACGATTTTATATAATTTGGATAAAAAAACCTTACTGTCTGCAGCAGAACACTGGAATTAATTATACATTTTCTGAAACAAACAAAATATTGTTTAGTATTGTTGTAGGAACATCATGCTAAAATAAAGCATTTCATTTCAACTGATATTATTGTGAAATAATGCACATTTGTAATTTGTTGGGTCTTTACCAGTGGCAAATTAATTATGCACATTAATTACTGAAGCACTTTCCATTCTCCAGTGTTTAGACAGAATTTGGGAGAAGGCACGTGTGTGATGTAGGTTTTGCAATTCTAATGATGGAACTGACATGGAGTTTGAGCTAAGTAGGTTATTCAATAAATTGTGAATTGTGGGAAATTGCTAATTCTGGCACAGCTGGAAAAATAGGTGAGAATTATGATTTTTCCAAATAGACTATACTGGCCTAAATTCACTTTTTAAATCTCCAAAATTTTCAGTTTAGCAAATAAATTCTAAGGTTTCAAATGTCATTGTCTAATTGTATCTCTTTCCTTTTGTATGAGTGTAAAATCAATGTTGTTGATATTTTCTAGACTTTTTTAGATTTGGTTTAGATTTGTTTTCGGAACGAACTTCATTTCGGACGATTTGGTGGTTCGACAAAATCCAGAATCCTCAGCCAACATAACGCCGAATAATGGACTAAACGAAATGCACAATGGCAAACAAGGTTCGGGGCGAGTCAAAAATCTAAATTTTCCCCATTGTTTCCAAAACAAACATACAAGATGATTGATGGGAAAAAGGATGATTGACCACTGGGAACAGTCACTATATGATGGGTTTATTCACAGGTCAAGTAAAGTTATCAAAGTAGGTAAAAAATGTTTTACCACAATTTAGTATAGGGAACGACCTTGAATACGATGGATGGAACAAGGAGAGACCAGACAGATCTAGAAGCATCTGAAAAATAAGACTATCATTGATTAAAAATATTTTAGGTGATATAATGATCAACTGATATCTTTTTGAGTCATTGGTTAAATTGTGGTTTTAATGAATTCCACACTAAAAAAACAGTATTTGAGGACTGTATCAAGTAATAGTATTTTATGTATTAATATACAGTCTTGGGAAAAAGAAAGTACACTCTCTTTGAATTATATGGTTTTAAATATCAGGGCATAATAACAACCATCCGTTCCTTAGCAGGTCTTAAAATTAGGTAAATACAACCTCAGGTGAACATCAACACATGACGTATTATACCGCATTCATAATTTATTTATTTAACATAAATGAAGCCAAAATGGAGGACATGTGTGAAAAGCTAAGTGCACCCATACTGCTTCCATAGGAATTAAGAAGCTAAGTAGCAGGCAGGTGCTGTTAATAAAATGCCCTTACTTAATTGATCATCAACAAGTGTGACCATTTTTATTAAAGCCAAAGTTCTAGCAGTTTGCTGGTCTGGCGCATTCAGGTGTGCCAAGGAGGAAAGACATCAGCAATGTTCTTAGAGAAGCAATTGCTGCTGCCCATCAAACTGGGGAGGGTTATAAGGCCTTTTCCAAACAATTTAAAGTCCATCATTCTACAGTGAGAAAACATATTCAAAAGTAGAAAACATTCAAGCAGTTGCCAAACTTTCCAGGAGTGGACATTCTAGCAAATTGACCCCAAGGTTCACCCCAATGCTGAGAGATTTTGCAAAAAACAAAGAGTTGCATCTGAACAAATGACAGGACTTCTGGAACAATGTCCTTTGGACAGACAAGACCAAAGTGGAGATGTTTAGCCATAATACACAGCGCCACATTTGGTGAAAACAGAACACAGCATAACCACACAAACACCTGGTACCAACTGTCAAGCATAGTGGTGGAAGGGTGATGATTTGTGCTTGTTTTGCAGCCACAGGACCTGGGAACCTTGCAGTCATTGAGTTGCCCATGAACTAATCTGTATACCAAAGTATTCTAGAGTCAAATGTGAGGCCATCTGTCCGACAGCTAAAGCTTGGCCAGCATTGGGTCGTGCAGCAGGAAAATGATCACCAGCAAATCTTCAATAGAATGGCTGAAAAAGCAAAGATTCAGGGTGTTGCAATAGCCCAATCAAAGTCCAGACCTCAACCCAATTGAAGAGCTTATGAGAGCTGTGCATAAACAAATGGCAGCAAACCTCAATGAACTAAATCAACATTATTAAGAAGGGTGGGCTACAATTCCTCCACAATAATGTGAGAGGCTGATAAAGTCATACAGAAAATGATTACTTCAAGTTATTGCTATTAAAGGTAGTTCTGCAAGCTATTGAATCATAAACTAGATTTACTTTTTCACACATGGCTTCTCCGTTTTTACTTTATTTTTGTTAAATAAATCATGACACAGTGTAAAATGTCATGTGTTGTTGTTCATCTCAGGTTGTATTTACCTAATTTCAAGACCTACTAAGGAATAGATGTTTTTTATTAGGTCATGACTGTAAGTAGATACAACAATATTGTAGATCACTGGTGACCATTTCTGAGATATTAACTGTCATAGTGTGTTTTGACTTTGGAACGTTGGAGAAATGACTTTGCAAAAGGCCATTCATTATACCAGATTTGTGAATATTCAGTTTATTAACTGGGGACAACACAGATCGAGCTCCAAGTACAAACTGTATGTTCTCCAGTTGATTGCATTAATAAGTTACTGGCATTACCGCCTGCCTCAAAGTCATGTAAGAATGGCAATGTCCTAATTTTCCAATTAACGTTATGTAAACAAATATCCAGACTCCCCATTCTATGTTTGTGTAGGTGACTGGATTACAAAAACTAGTCTTGTTTTATAAGACAATAGGATACCTTAGCAAGCTGTGGAGAGGTTGTATTTCGGGAACAATAAAGCTATTTGCAGTTGTACCCCTTTCTAATTGGCTAATATGTACTAGGATAAAAACAAACTGTTCTTTTTACCAGAATTGATATATTTTGGTAGGATGCGGAAAGTGAGAATGTATATAAGTGACTGAATGCCAACAAGGTTCAATTACATTAATATAAGTTGTTGTTTTGCGGATTTTAGATGAGAGTTAAGAGTATGACTTGGCATTAGGGTTAGCGTTTAGGATGAGATTCAGGGTTTAATGTTAAAATTAAGAATTATGGATGTGAGAGATTTGAAATTACTACACAAATTACTACACATAATGATGAATTGTATATTATGGGAAAAACCACAATTGAGGGGTATTGGAAAAAATATTACGAATTATGAAACTCAAGCTTGAGTGGTTTATAAATGCCTTAAGGAGTAATGATCAATGATAGTTCATATACAGTCCGGTGGATCCACCAATAATTGATCAATAATTTATGCTTGGATAGCAATAGATAGTCTGATCAGACAGAAACTTGTTGTATGTCAAAGCAGAAAAAATGAAAAAGCTGTGAAAAAGCTGTGAAAAAGTAAAAAATAGAAAATAGCAAAAATAGATAAAAGTGAAAAATTGAAAAAAATAATGTAAGAAAAAAGTTTCCCTTGGTTGGAGCTCACCATAAATCACTGTGGCTGTGAATATAGGTTGCAGAGCGGAGTCCATACATATGTGAATGGTTATAACGCACACCGGTGAGGTTCTCTGTATTCCGCAGTATGAAAGTGTAGCTTTCTAGATGAGTGGTGATGTAGCATAGCCCGGTCTGGTCCGGTTACCGTCTCCTGTCTTGTGCTGCATGGGCTGCGTGCTCAGGACTGAAATGCCCATCTAGAAAGCTGCACTTCCATACTGCGGAATACAGAGAACCTCACCGGTGTGCGTTATAACCATTCACATATGTATGGACTCCGCTCTGCACCCTATATTCACAGCCACAGTGATTTATGGTGAGCTCCAACCAATCTTTCATTCACAAAGCTGCTCAAGGAAAACATTTTTCTTATATTATTTTTTTCAATTTTTCACTTTTATCTATTTTAGCTATTTTCTATTTTTTACTTTTATCTATTTTTTCTATGTTCTATGTTTTACTTTTATCTATTTTTTTCTATGTTCTATTTTTTACTTTTTCACCTCTTTTTTTATATTTTTCTGCTTTGACACACAAGAAAGAAAAAAAGAAAAAAAAAAGTCTGTCTAACCAGACTATGACACTGGAGAGTCCCTTTAAGAACCCCAATAGGGTATTGTTTTCTCCTTAGTACATAGATTACCATTACATGAGTAATATTAGGTTGAATGAGGATTAACAGTTTATGCTAATTATAAAGCAGATATGACAATCAGAACTTTGATGTATGAGATTTCAAATCAATGTGAGGCAATTGAGACAAAATGGCAGGAATTCACACAAACTATGACTTTTTCCTTTTAATTTTGTTGATCCTAATATGTACATATTTAATAGAAAAATTTAACATACAGTACATGTGACATGTGACATATTGTGCCATTCTTAACTACATATGGACATCAGTAAATCAATTTAAATTGCCATAATATTGTACCACAGTGGTGGTGGTGGGGGGGAGGGGCAGACCACCATGCTGACTAGTTGGATGGAAGACTACTGCAAAAGTAGTTTAGTCCTAGTCCAGGTACCGAGAAGTGTCAGTCACATACCCTGTGAGGGGATGGTCCTGCTGCTTGATCCAAAAATCTATGTTTTGGACCCCTGGGGGGAGAAATGTAATCTATGAAACAGAGGTCTAATTAAGTGGTGAGTGGGGTAGACGGTCACATTCCTACTATCCTGCATTTCTGCAACGAATCGGACCCTTCATTCAAGGTGGCACTGGCCCTGCTTCCTTCCCCTTTGGACCGGTAGGGGTCATCCCAGTCCACCCTGGGTCTTACCATTATATACTGTCAGCTACTTGACCCGAAAGCTGATGCTCTGACAAATTGTTAACCGGTGATCACAGTGGGACTACCTATCCATGGAGGATTCTTGTAAGCCAGCCACATTGCGGATCGAGCGTGTGCATGAGCACCACAAGCGTTTGTGAGTAGCAGCTGGAAACTGCATATACTCACTTTTTCTATCTTGTAAGAGGCTACTTTTATTCTTTTATTTTTTCTGTTATTATTGTAGTATCCATGACACTTGTTTTTTAAGTATGGATAGGAGTGTTACATGTCTAGTGTGGAATAATAAATGTATCAAATTTTAACTGTACTTCACTATTATATGCTTTTTATATTTTCTATATATATCTGAGCTGAAGCAATCTTAAGATCCTTCTGAGATCCTGGAATCTATTTAGCGCTCCACCTGCATAAGTATACTTTCTATTGTCAGCTATTTGAGTTGGAGGACCGCTTACATTTTAATATGGTGGCAGAGCTTGTCACACACTATGGGTAGAAGGTGATTTCCCTCAGGGCTCTTGATGCCAAATGTGGGCAAAGCAGGGCAACATTAATCAAGCCGCACTTGGCACTTGCAGCCCGGTTCGGGGTGCTAACAATTGATACTGAGACCCAGACCAGTGAGCATAGGAGACCCCCAATACTGAGCTACAGCTCTGTTTCTGCGGACCGCCCAAGTATTTACCAATTCCTATCTACATACCACACCTGGCTATCCTAACACAGCTTCCACTACACTGCTGACCCTCTATAAGCCACTACACTATATCAGTCGATGTACCAGCCTTGGTTCTGGAACATGGTGGGCTGATATGGCCTTTTTTGCTGATTGGCGGTCTACAAACAGGCCTACACCTTAAGATGGGGACTGTGTCCTGCCGGTAGTGGGGGTTGACTGAACTATGTCTGGGGGTTCCTCTCCATGGGTGAAGCGTGCAGCCATTCCAATGATTACTTTCCCTTCTCAGTCTAGTATTTATGTGTGGAGACCCAGAGACCCAGCAGTATTTATGTGATATGGTATGCTTTCCTAGTTATATTTTACTTTCAAGTGTGTTTTTCTGTTTGCCATACAGTTTCAAACCTGCTTACTTTCCTTTAAATGTGCAGTGTATATGGCATATACTATTGATCTTTATTGTCAATCATACTCACGCAAATGTGTTTCATTCCTGCACTCCAAGAATAAAGAATTAAAAACATATTTTGTACCACAGAGTTGTCCCAAGACAGTCACACCTTTGGGGCCTTGCTCCACTGTCCTAGGCTTTTTATCTGGTATTTAATTTTTGGGACATCAGACAAAAATTCCATATTACAGGAACACTATGGTGTTAGGAATACAAACATGTACTAATGCTATAGCCTTCTTCTACCTATAAAGGTGTCTGAATCCCTGCCCCAGCAAGGTTTGAAAAAGTAAGACTCACTTACCTTACATCCCACAGCACACTGGTCTCCATGCTGCCACCGGCCTCCTTGGCTAAGATCTTCAATATTGATAATCTCAGCCAATCCTATGAAAGCATTGTGGAACTAGTGTCAATTTGCACCAACATGCACCAATAAAATACCCCTATCAGGGTTAAAAAGTCAGGGGTATGGCACTCAGAACACTTCATTGAGATGTAGTGGTCTGGGTGCCTTTAGAGTTCCTTTAAGTACAGACATGGTGTATTAGATAAGTCGTGTGTTGTTTGCAATTCTTCATTCTATAATTCTATTTTTTAACTTACATCTAGGTGGCAGAATTTAACACAAAGCTAATGCATGCAGATATTTATATATACAGCAAATACTTACATAGATTTCTTTTTCTTTTAATTTAATTTATTTATTTTTGTTATGTGTTTTAAGTACATTGTGTCCTGAAAGTGAATGACATATCGCTAAAGAATGAAGAACTGCATGAATGACCTCCGTGAAGGAGGTCCTTTTTAACACAAGGACACAGACAAAGTCTAACCGGTTCCACAGTGAAAAGCTAAAATACCTTATCTTCCACTAAAAAATGTCAAAATGTCTCCTGAATGATGAAAACAAATTTTATGGTTTTCACACCTTTTATTTCTAGACCAATTTCATTGTTTGCGTCTTGTGAACACACAATGGTAGTCCTCGTTAGGTTAAACATTAACGAGAATGCTTGCCATACACTACTTTAACAATGTATTCCCACATACTTTAGCCTAGCAGATCTGTTTTTATCAGCATTTAATAAGTAACTAAGCCAAGAAACAATACGCCAATACTGCCAAATTTACCAGCAGCAGCTGCACGGGCTGAAAGGCTCAGAAAGAAATTATGTTGAAATGTCAATTCCTAAAAAAATTTTCTTAAAATAAAAACTGGAACTGGTGTATGTTTAAAAGACATTGAGAGTCACTTTGGGTTGAACTGCAATTCAGCTGAATCTGGTCCAATCAGGTGTTCGGACGAAATTTACTCAAATTATGTACTAATAGAGGAAAGATTCACCTAGTGCACAATAAAGTGGAAGAGGTAAAAACTGGAAAAATGTAATCAGTATCCTGAGGTAAATGGGGTCACAGTCCACTCTGCAAGCACCAATACATACACAAACCACATATATCCCCAGTGCAAGTGAAATATACTAGCGGTGTAAGGCTACTCCTCTACCTAGTAAATGGATAATCATTGGATTATCCAGACAGGTGCTAAAATATTAATATACAAGCTTTATTAATTAGGCTTATTTGTAGCACTTTTGATAACCCTTTGTAGGTAAGTAGTGCACTGGAAAATAAACCAGTGTACCAAGATATTAGTGTTAAAAAATGGGGGTTAACTAGAGGTTAATCATATTTCTGTCCGTATAAAGCAGCCAGTTAATAGTACCTTTGTCAGCCCTTTGTAGGTAAATAGTGCACTGGAAAAGTATAGCAGTGTACCCAGGTAGACAAGGGGTTAGACCATGGTCTGTGTTTAGTAACACAGATTGACTAAAGGTTAGACCAATATACTATCCATGTGAAGCATGACTAAACATAGATTGGATAATAGAGTACTATAGTATATTCAGCTGCAACCTAAAATATCCCCCCCAACCCCCCCGCAATAAAAAATTACAATGTACAGGAAAGTGATATAGGAAAGAGGTCGAGCATAAGACAGCAAAGTGTAGTAAAGCCTCTCTCCCCGTTAAAATGACTGGATAGATAGAGGAGCAAAAGAATAAAGGAGTTAAAAATTATAGTGCTTAATTCTGGCCTTGGCACAAAAAAAAAATAAAAAAATATTGATGGCTAGGACACTAACTCAGAGGTGGAGAACGTCTGACCCGGGCCATATCAGGCCCAGCCCAGGGCCAGCGCTGCCATGAGGCACAGACCGGCTCTGGCAGCAGGGGAGCGCACTGCACAGTGCTCTCCTCCAGCCAGTTACTCCTGTGTAGCGTGTCTGAGCCAGCAGACCGGAGTAGAAGGGCTTCAGTAACCTCTACCATGGTCTTACAGGAAGTGTGCAGGGGTTGGGGAAATGAGACAAACAAATGGAGTGGCTTGGGGAGAAAATAAGGCACATGGAGGGGCTGGAGAATGAGACATACGGAATGGAGGGGGTGAGGAAATGAGACACATTGAATGGAGAGGGTGAGGAAATGAGACACATTGAATGGAGGGGCAGGGGGAGAAAATAAGGCACATGGAGGGGCTGGCGAATGAGACATATGGAATGGAGGGGGTGAGGAAATGAAACAGATGGAATGTAGGGGATGAGGAAATGAGATACATGGAATGTAGGGGATGAGGAAATGAGACACATGGAATGCAGGGGATGAGGAAATGAGACACATGGAATGGAGGGGGTGAGGAAATGAGACACATGAAATGTAGGGGGTGAGGAAATGAGACACATGGAATGGAGGGGTGAGGAAATGAGACACATGGAATGTAGGGGGTGAGGAAATGAGACACATGGAATGGAGGGGTGAGGAAATTAAACACATGGAATGGAGGGGTGAGGAAATGAGACACATGAAATGTAGGGGGTGAGGAAATGAGACACATGGAATGGAGGGGTGAGGAAATGAGACACATGGAATGGAGGGGCTTGCGGCAGTACACAAAGAGACATAGAGATGCTGGAGGAGATACAGACAAGGTGCTGGGGGAAAGAAACACACAGAAGGGATGGGAAGGGGAAAAAGAGACACACAAAAGTGGCTGGGGAAAGAAAGATAAACACATAGGGGCTGGGGAGGTACAAAAAGACACACAGAGGCTAAGGAAGGGGCAAAATTTAAGCTAATTTTTATGTTGATATTTTTGCATGGCCCGTGAAGGATGGAATAACTATCCAAGTGGCCCTGGTTTAGTAGAATGAAAACTTGCATGCATTTAATTATGCATTTTTTCATTGGGGATATATCTAAAAAACAGCTGGCAAAAGCTGAAGGTCTCTTGTCTGCTCTCTTTGCAAGCCCTCCCCTTCTAACTCCGCCCAGACTTTCTGTGGCTGTCCAATGAGAAGTCATTGCAAGGCAATTGCTCTGGGCTATTGCTGCCTCTTGAATTTAGTTCCTGAGCTAAACAACCAGGAAGTAACATGACCCATTGTTTGGTTGACAGCCAGGGGGGTGTAACGAGGTTAATTTATAAAAGTGTCAATTTCTATTATTTCTTATTGCAAAATAAAAAAAAGTACACAGTCTGCATACATAAAGCATTTCAGCAAGCTAAACTGCTTTAGGGGTATGAAGTATCCTTTAAAGGAACTTAAGGAACCTTAAATGTATCCTTTTATATATCTGGATTGGTTGTCGGGTATGTTGCTTTTGCACGTTTTTTAATACATTGACCTATACAGTTCAAGCAAATGAATCAATTCCAACCTAAGGAGCAGCTTTAAAAACAAAGTATCTAATACTGCAATATATATATATATATATATATATATATATATATATATTACATTTATTAATTTGTTTATTTTAAATGTATTTATTTTACATTTATTTATTTTACATTTATTTATTTATTTATTTTAAATTTATTTATTTATTTATTTATTTATTTTAAATTTATTTATTTATTTTTTATATATATTTAAAGCGTGTGTCCAGGCTGGTTTAAATTATTGTGGAGAAATATTTCTTTTTTATTTACTAGCATTTATATTATATTCTTCTTTTCATATTGCATGCTAACCAATCACATAACCTGTGCCGACATCCTTCATATTAAGAACTACAGCTTGATCCAATTAAATGGCTCTACATTTTCATTGTTTTAAAACACTGAATTATGAAGAACTTATTTGATATAATGTATTTGGGAGACTTTGATTTACACAATGGCTATTATTATCATAGTAAAAAAATAGAGATTAATCTGTGATATTGTGAAATTTAACATAGTTACTAATTAAAAAAACAACGGTCTTGATGAAATAACTTTTCAAATTATTTAATAGTCATAAAAATATTTTAATATTATCGTAATTTTTTTATATATGATACATTTTTTTATAGTTTAATATTTTGAAAAAAATCATTTGAAAAACTTACCCAAAATATTAAATCAAGGTCAATGTTAGAATATTTTAAGCTGTTCTTACAATTTTCATTACAGTTACCTTTTATGGCACTGATCAACTTGTATATCACTTTATCTTTATGACTTTTCTTTATGGTAGTTTTTAAGTCAGCACAGGTGTTAGTTTCACCCAGTTGAAAGACATTGATACAATTAGTAGTCATTGCATGTGCCAAAGTCTCATCTATTTCACGTTAGTAACAAAGTCTCGTGTTGTTTTGAAAAACACACAAAAACACCTGGTTTTATTCGGAAACATTTCTATACATTCATTTTCTGAAACACAATGAGAGTTTTATAATTTTATTAAAGACACGGAGGCTCCTATTATGCATTCTCTTTCTTTATTATACTCCCAGCAGCAAGAAAAGGAAGTATGAGAGAATCATATAAAAAAACATAACAACAGCTTGGTAACAGTGGCACCAATCAGCATCCAGTATTATCCATATGGGTGTGGTGCTCCTTGACTCCTCCTCTTTCTTGCTGCTCCCTCAGACAAGTTAAGTACTTCATCTCTTGCTACTCCTGTGATTTTTCATACATATATGTGTATTTGGGTAAAAGATTTTAGCATTGTGTATGTTTATGCTTATTTTATACTTCACTGTTATTACTGGTTATTTAATACTGGTGTCTGGGAGTGCTGCCTATTAAATAGGGGTCTCTGGGACCCTGAGGTTTTCCCCCTTTCAGTAGTGTTAGACTCTTTACCCTGCTCGTTTCCGTTTTTGTGTGGGTGCAGCAGGGCTGCCCTTAGCTGCTCTCCTTAGCCGCTCTCTGTTTTGGTCGCGGTCTATTCCGCGGTTTTCTGCCGGTCCGCGCATGCGCAAACGCTCTTTTGCCGTTTTTTCCCCTTTTCCTAACGGCCGCGCATGCGCAGTACGTGCCGCGGCGGCCATCTTTTTGGTTTATGTCGCCGCCTATGTAAATTTTCTCGCGGCGGCCATTTTAAGTACGTTTTCGGCGGGAAATTGCTGCGGACCGATTCTGTATGTGGATAACGGTTTCTCCTACCCTCCTGGCGCACTCCCAGACCCATCCTGTGCTTATTTCCTGTGTTGCTGTCTTTGCTGGTCAAACTGTAAGTGTTGGTGTGGAGGATTACTCTATCCTGACACCCTTTTTGTCCTTAGCCTTAGCTAGTATATTTTTTTTCCCTACAGGTCATTTCAGTTACTGTTCTTAACCATTAGCTACTACTAGTGGCATTACCTTATTGGGCCCTATAATTCTAACTCTGAGTGGACTTGGGTGTTTTATCCCCTGTGAGTTTATATTATTGCTAAAATGCAAGATCAGAATGAAAGACCTGCAGGGTCTGTGTGTCCTACACCAGGGGTTTCCCCCTCAGACAGGGCATGTAAGGATGACGCCAGCCTCATGGCATCGGAGGAATTTCAATCCCTCCTCGATTCTACCATGGCACAATCCATCAACAAGGCGTTAGCCTCCGCGATGGGGGTCATGTCATCCTCTATCACACAATCTGTAACCAAAGCGCTGATACAGTCTCAGAGTTGTGGCCCTCAGAGCACACTAAATCCGGGATCCACTAATGTGGTACAACCGGGACGTAAAGCCTTGACGAAAAGCAAACATATTGCCTCCCCTCCAGAACTGCAGGTTCAGCCTGCAATGACTGACACGCCTCAGGCTGTCAAGGATGGCGCGATACCACCGCGCAATAGAGCCCCTGGCCGGGTAAAATCGGCCAGATCTTGGAAGTGGGCACGTGCCCAAGAGGACTCGTCCGATTCGGACCGGAGTTTGGAGGAGGAGTATGATGAGTTATGCATGGACCATTATAGTGCGGAATATTCCGATTCAGGGTCCGAGGTGAAATTTCACACTGCGACCCAGAAGGCTACGGCTCAGGGCACTGAGCCTGCCGTATCGGGCGAGGGCGACGATTTACGGGACCCTCTGGGTAACCCGTTGTTTGACCCAGATAACCTCCGTCACCCTCGCTCGGCGGAATGGGAGCCGCCTGAGCACATTGCGAGGTACCTCGCGCTAAGAGTAAGAAAACCTTTATCTAAGGAAGGACGTAACAAGCTACGGGCGGAATGCCCGCGGCCTTTCCTTCCAGACTCAGTGGGAAAAACCCCTGACGTGGATCCCCAATTGGTCCAATTTTTTGAATAAGTCGGGTTGGAAACCTAGGAAAGGTTTGGATTTCTCCCTTCGGAACTGCCAGGACAAGTTCCTGGACACTCTGGGGCCCATCACCAAACTTTATGAGTTAGTGGAATCTGCCCAATCTGGTGAGAATGACTTCGATTTCGAAGTAGCGAAAGGCTGGTTGCAGAGGTTAGTCTGCATGGTGGGTAACGCCAATACAGCCATGGCAACCGAACGCCGCAAGGCGATTCTCATGAGAATAGAGCCCAAACTGGTCAGTATGGCGACCAATGAGCCGGGGCCAGCCGCTAAAGGCTTACTCTTTGGTGAATCCTTTATTAAGGATCTTGGGCTGTACGTTAAAACATTTACAGCAATTGACAAAGCTCAGACTTCTCTAAAAAGAGTATTTGCACCTCGGGTTTTTGGATGGGCCGGTAGAGTTAGGAGCCGTCTATCCGGCCGTGGATTCCGTGGCTCATTTAGAGCCGGCAGAGGCTCCTTTAATACCCAGAGACCGGTACCAGAACGAACTTATACCCCGTTCTTCCCATCTCGTGGACGCCCTGGAACTCCCGCGGACCACGGGGGTCTGTCTCAGGCAGACGACCTTATGGTGAGTACCGAGTATCTCCATTTTTCCCATATAAAAGTGGGGGGCAGATTGGCATTGTTTCACCATGCTTGGAAACTTCTAACCGCAGATGTTTGGGTATTAAATACAGTACAGGGGTACCTGATGGAGCTAGTCTCTTACCCTACTCAGGTGCAGTTCCCTCGAGAACTAAACATGGCCAGCGACCACCAGAAGATGATCTCGGCAGAGATTGCAGATTTGGCGTCAAAACACGCTATTCAACAAATCCCATGGGACACAGAAGGGTTTGTAAGCAACCTGTTTCTGGTTCCAAAGAAAGGGGGTGGAGTACGCCCAGTAATAAATCTCCGACCCCTAAATGCGTTTGTCCAATATCACCATTTCAAAATGGAGGGTATTCATTGCCTTCGGGACATCCTACTACCATCAGATTGGATGGTCAAGATAGATTTACGGGATGCTTACCTGACAATCCCTGTCGCGGAAGCGCACCAAAACCTACTGCAGTTTCAGTGGCAAGGAACGAAGTGGAGGTTTGTATGTCTACCGTTTGGTCTGTCCTCTGCTCCATGGTGCTTCACAAAGGTACTAAAGCCGGTGATTGCCTTCCTGCGCACACGAGGGGTCAGGTTAATAATTTATCTGGACGATATCCTTCTCCTGTCTCAATCTCAATCCCAATTACGGGTTCATTTGTCTTGGACAACACACCTTCTCCAGAACTTAGGATTCTTGGTGAATTGGGAGAAATCTGTCCTTCAACCCTCCAGATGCATGGAATTTCTGGGATTTCAAGTGGACTCTGTACAGCAGAGGTTGTGCCTACCCAAAGACAAAATGATTTCGATCAAGAAAGAGATCAGACGACTTATGATTCGTACGACCATTTCCCTCAGACAACTTGCGAGGATCATAGGGCTACTGGCATCGTCCATACAAGCAATCTTCCCGGGCCCGTTACATTATCGTGCCCTACAAAGGCTCAAGGCCTCATATCTGCGCTCCGGACACTCGTACGAAACCTGTGTTACACTGGACGAAGATTCCAGAGAGGAGTTGACATGGTGGCTAGCCCACATGGAGGCGTGGAACGGACGGGCGATATTCGGGTCTACGCCAGATCTGGTCATAGAGTCAGACGCCAGCTTACACGGCTGGGGCGCGCATTGTGGCTCAGTTTCCACCGGTGGCAGATGGTCCAACGAAGAAACATTGTTACACATCAACTGCCTAGAACTGTTAGCGGCATCCTTTGCCATTCGCAGCATGACCCCCACAGGCATCTCATGCTCTATCCTAATCAAGATGGACAACGTTTCGGCGGTGCGTTATATCAACCACCTAGGAGGAACGAAATCGAAAGTTCTGGCACTGATGGCTCGAGATTTTTGGCACTTTTGTCTAAAACACAACATTTCGGTAATAGCGGAATATATCCCAGGACGGGACAATGCACTAGCGGATTGGAATTCTCGATATCTTCGAGACACAGGGGATTGGCATCTCCACCCAATGATCTTCCAATGTCTCTCTCGACTTTGGGGACCTCTCAACATAGATCTCTTCGTGTCTCGGCTGAACACCCAACTTCCTCGGTTCTTCAGTTGGAGACCGGACCCAGATGCGCTGGCGACAGACGCATTCTTACAAGACTGGTCCAAGGGCAAGAATTACGCTTTTCCACCGTTCAGCCTCATCTCTCGGACCCTTGCATACCTTCGATATTCCCAGGGGACTCTAGTGCTGATAACCCCGTTATGGAGGTCACAACCCTGGTTCCCACAGTTATTAGAAATGTCGATAGATTCCCCACGACTCTTGCCGGACATACCCTACCTCCTGACCAATCCAGAGGGAATGAGTCACGAGTTGATCGACCAGGGTCTACTTCGCCTGATGGCATGGTTCCTTTCAGGGGAACATGGAATCTCGAGGATGTTTCGCAGACAACACTCAGTCTCTTGGCAGAGTCTTGGGCACCAGGTACCAGACGTTCCTACGGGTCGGTTTGGAGGAAGTGGACTGATTGGTGCGTGGGACAATCAGTGGATCCCATATCAGCTCCTGTGAAAATAATCTTACAATTCCTGACTCTACTCTTTGAAGAAGGTAAAGCCTTTCGGACTATAAATCTATACAGGTCAGCGATATCAGCGAGGCATAGGGGATTGGATGGTACTCCAATAGGTAAACATACCCTCATCTGTCGTTTGCTCAAAGGCATCCGGTTTGCTCGACCCCCGCAGGCTCGGTATTCTTCCTTCTGGGATGTCAATGTGATTTTTCGTTTTCTCGAGTCTTGGCCTTTGAATCATGAGCTTTCTCTTAAACAATTATCAACCAAACTGTTGATGTTGTTTTGTTTACTTTCATGTAAACGGGTTGCTGATGTCAGAGCATTGGATTGGCAAGCACGCGCTTTTGTTCCGAACGGAGTTTACTTCAATATTTCACGAAGGACAAAGTCTGCAACTAAGGAGGTCTTCTACCCGTCGTTTCCAGACAACCCTAATCTGTGCCCAGTGTTATGCCTTAAGGAATACGAGCGCCGCACGAGCTCGCTCCGTCCTGATCAAACCCATCCATTATTCATCTCGTTCAGAGTACCGCACCTACCAGTATCTACTCCTACTTTAGCTCGTTGGATCAAATGGTTATTATCCGTGGCAGGCATAGACACTTCAATTTTCTCCTCACACTCCATTCGCGGGGCAATGGCTTCTAAAGCTTCCATGATAGGTTGTAGATTGGAAGACATCTTACGAGCAGCTGATTGGTCGAATGAGTCTACGTTTCGTAATTTCTACTTTCGACCGGTACAACATATTTCCAGTTTGGTGGTTGCTCAGCTTTAAAATAGCATAATAGGAGCCTCCGTGTCTTTAATAAAATTCCCAGATTTTACTATTAACATGACGTAAAGTCATGATTTTATTAATGACACGGAGGCGAGTATTATTCCCACCCGCCCTGCCCAGGGTGGTGTTTAAGTTACAGGTCAATCATGGGACCTTTGGAATGACAAAATACGGTAGGTAAAGTGTCATACACGACACGAAGGTGAGTAAGGTTTGTGATGAATATACTTCTATATACTTATAGTGTTGGAATAACGTAGTGGAAGAGTTGGATAACTATGGAATAGCAGTCGCAAGTCTCGATATTACCATATTTTTCTTC